AAAATCCAAGTCATATAAATGACCCCCAGACCTGAAAAGTCATTGTCAACTGCTGGAATCCATTGGATTCTCTTTATTAATTGAATTAGAAATAGTTATCGCCATCTTCAAACACTGTGTAACTGGATGCAAAATGAGATGCTTTCTTTTCTTGGAATTTCAGATGAAGCTTTAAAACTCATAACAACCCCTACTGTGCTGTAAAAAAAACTCCACAGTGGTGGCCACACTGATCAGGTGATCATCTACCTTCAGTACCTTATATAAGAGAAAATGAGGTCTCACTAAAGAACAGTGCACCCACGCACCTGTTCTCCTCCTTAACAAAGGCTTATTAACATAGACATTTAAATATTGTAGCTGATGGATGGCTGTCTAGAATTAAACCTCACCGCGTCCACTTGTTCAGCTGTCCTCCCAACAGCCTCAGCCACAAAAGGAAAACTGGCACCAGATCAGTGGGAGCTGGTTTCTTTAATGAACCCTTGGGATTTTTAAACCACATATCGCTCTCATGATTATATTCCTTCATCCTACTACCAAGTTTTGTATAAGCACATCCATAAACTACATATATGCTAGTACAGCTGTGAAGTGAGTTGTTTGCATACCCACAAGTTGAAACAGTCTCGAATTTTTGCCCCTTTGGAGTTTACCATCTTGTTTTAAGCCACATCAAATATCAAAGGAATTTCATCCATATTTGCTTTCTGTAAAAGTTCAAAACAATTCTTTCATTAGTAATGTACCTATGAAATCAGTGATTGTCTCTTTATCAGCTAACATTTTATGTGCTGTTTTCCCTGGCCCAAACCCACAGTAGGTTATTTCTCTTTGTGATCTAGAACACTAGGCTGTTAATCTGGTCAAATCATTAGTGCCTCTGTTGCTCTCCATCATTTTTTATGAATACTGAACTTTCTGGAGCTTTCAAAAAAAAATCTAATGCATGTTTTAATTCCTTGTAGCTATGACCACTTCACAGTTCCCTGTCAGGATGTCTCCGAGATCCAGCAGATGAAAGTATGCTGTTCATGTTTTCTCCAAGTCTTTATCATTTTCTCACCTAATTACCTTCCTGCAGTTCTAATATCCTATTCTTTCTTCAACTGGAAAACGCCAAATATGAACTTAATATCATGCCATGGAATATAGTGGTAATAAATATGAATCTAAAATGTCTGGGGAGGTACCCAAACTCTACCTTGAGTTAGTGGTATACCCTGTGGCTTGGTATATTTTTGGTCAAAACTGTCAGGATGGTGTTAACCTTACATCTCTGCTGTGTTGTTTTGTGTTGCCATATTTTAACCACAAGGGGGCAGCATCACCACCTTCACTGTCTCCCATCTTTAATATGGGTGCATTGGGCCAGGGTAGAGAAGAAAGGTTTTACAACTTTAAAAAACAATATTCGTCATCTGGTGATGATTGTAAATATGATGGTGATGATTACTGAAAGAGAGTTGAAGAGTGTTTCCTGTAATTGAGGAATTTGTCTACAAACATAAATCCCCTCTTTTGTGAGAGTAGTATTCATGGGGACCTTTGCTAGTATGCTTCAGTCTTTCCATTAGCTCTGCTAATAATCAGGTTAGAAAAGTCAAGAAACAATGAGTTACATGAAGCAGGCTCTGATTTTTAGGAGAAAGATAGTCTGTAAATGACTTATTTTGGTTTCCTGATGACATTTAAGTTCAATCATGTTCCAGGTAGCCGCCTCCAGATGCTGCAGATCATCCTGTATTATGATGAGTGTTGAAGGGCTCTAGAGTCATCTTTGTCATGTAAAACTTCATCAGAAAATAACTGTCTAACCAGGGGGTGAAATAAGACTAAAAAGCATCACAGAGTTCATCTAGAGTGGAGGGAGGGCCCCCCACAGAGCCCTGAACAGCTCCACTGCCACCAGTCTCATTACCATGACACCTGCAAAGGAGACACTGCTGCCACAGCTGGTCCCAGTCACCATCACTGTGTCCGCAGACATGAGCAGTGAGGCTGAGACACTTGGCATGACACCATGGGCAGAGGCAGAGGGAGTGGCAGCCTGCGAACAGGACAAGAAGGTTATCCCAGTGAAAGTTTGGGAACAGTAAGATGGTTCAGTGTAAGAAACATATATGGTTTCACCCACAGGAATGACACTGGGTGAGATGTATTTGTATGCCAGATTGTCATAAGGAAGAATAACCCCCAGGAAGCACCCTGGCAGTACAGGGGATAGAGAAGCTGTGGAGTTCAATGTTGAAGGAGAAAAGGGTACACAGGCAGCAAAGATTGCAGGCCCTGGTGGAGTTCCAGTGCCAGGCAGTATAGATACAGTAGACTGAAGCCATTATAGATGTTATCTGCACCATGGGGGTCTTCCACACGGTCACCAGCACAATTACCAGAACGATGAGAGTGGGGAAAAGAAGGATTGGAGAGTGCCCTTCAACGTCAGGCCTTACAGCACACGGAAGACGCCTCCCTTGGAGAGACCCTATGAGTGTTGACTTGTAGAGACAAGTGATGGAGGGTGCTGACGACCAGGGTGAAGGAGAAGAGATAGGTCAGTGAGACAGATTACGTATTGGGGTTACAGACCACAAGTCTCCAGGGCCCCTCCTCACCTAGAACAGTAATGAAGACCCAAGGCCAGCAGCCATGTCAGTGTAGGCACCTCCCCAACTTCAGTTACCAGCACAGACACCCAGAAAACCCTAAACCACAAGATGGTAAAGAGACTGCCAGCTAGGAAGTCCGTTGCCAAGGCCGAGCAGAGCAGGGCTGAGTAAATGCCAGCTGACCATCTCTAGTGTCATCTGGTTTATCATCCCACAGGAAGAAATGAATATAAATTCCAGCAATAAGACCTGAACAAAAGATTGGCTCTGAAGACCTTACATGCCTGCTTTTGGCCCATTTACCAGACAGCTAGCACTATCTGAGTTATGGAGTTTTCATTACTTTTCCCTACAGACATCTCTTTTTGGTAATGATAAATATGTTTTTTAAAATATGTTCTTTTAAAAGGTCTGGGGCCAGGCATAGTGACTCACGCCTGTAATCCCAGCACTTCGGGAGGCCGAGGCAGGTGGATCACCAGAGGTCAATAATTCGAGACCAGCCTAGCCAACATGGCAAAACCCCATCTCTACTAAAAATACAAAAATTAGCAGGGCATGGTGGCGGGTGCCTGTAGTCCCAGCTACTGGGGAGGCTGAGGCAGGAGAATTGCTTGAACCTGGGAGGCGGAGGTTGCAGCGAGCTGAGATTGCACCACTGCACTCCAGCCTGGATGATGAAGTGAGACTCTCTCAACAATAAATAAATAAAATAAAATAAAAGGTCTGGTTTTTCTTATATGCCTTTAAAGGTTTTCAAATTGTTCCGTATCTGGTCAGAATGAGATTATTAAGAAACTCATTTTTTAAGTTGTAAAAAAATCAAGTTATTTTATTACAAGTCAACAAACTGCAATTATCTGTTAATATGGGTCTATAATAATGATAATAATGCAACACAGATGCAGATTTTGGCTTAAAGAACTATGTTTTTCTAGATTTTATATTTTAATTGTTATTCAACAATGTCTTGTGAGTTCTTACATATCTCGGTGATAAGAGACATTATAGAACATTACACATGGAAGACAATAAACATCGTTCTTTCTTTTTCTCATACAACTTTCTCCATTAATGGCAAAATGAGATGAGGAAGCAAATATGCCATTCTGTCTTTTAATATTTCCAACAAAGAACTGAATTTAGAAAGAAGTCTGAAATTTTCCTCCTAAGAGAATTATAGAAAGTGTCTGATAGTCATTTATGGCTGTTTTTGTTTTTGTTTTTAAATCTTTCACTCACTTTTCCTTGGGCACATCTGACTCATGTTCAGGTCCAGGGAGCCACACTCTTTCCTTATTCACAGAACTGAATGCTTATACGTGATCTTGCTGTTTTTATTTTTCCCTAATGGGAAAGCCCTACTAAGAAGGGTATGAGACTTACATACTTGTAGCTGATGATCTTAGCCATCTCATAGCTACAGCCCCAAGAAGCCAGCTCTCCAGCCCCTGAATCCTGACTGCTCAAATGTACACTGCAGTGCTTCACTTCCCAAGGGGTGTAATTACCTTCTCCATGATACCCAGTGCTTCAAATGACCTAAGCAAAAGAATCCCCCTGCCCTTTCTTCTGATGCGTGGCAAAGCGAGTTACATTTATTGCAACTAGAAATTCCAGTGGCCTGGTCCTTGCTGGCACATGGCAGCAGGACTGGCTTGAGGGATGCTGCTGGGTGAAATGAAAGAGCTCAGCAGTTCTGCTTTGTGCTGTCCTGGCCAGAAAAATCTTTGCTGCTTGTCATCCCATCTTCCTCCACTAGAAGCCTGAGAAATGAGGCATGCTCAGGTGTTAAAAGTGGTCACAGGGCTTGCCGGGTGTGGTGGCTCACACCTGTAATCCCAGCACTTTGGGAAGCCGAAGCCAGCAGATCACTTGAGGTTAGGAGTTCAAGACCAGCCTGGCCAACGTAGTGAAACCTCGTCTCTGCTAAAAATACAAAAAAAAACCAAACAAACAAAAATAGCTGGGTGTAGTGGCAGGTGCCTGGAGTCCCAGCTACTTGGGAGGCTGAGGCAGGAGAATTACTGGAACCTGGGAAGTGGAGGTTGCAATGAGCCGAGATCGCGCCACTGCACTCCAGCCTGGGTGAGAGAGTGAGACTCCACTCAAAGAACAAAAAAAGTGCTCACAGTGTCATAATACCACCGAAGGTACTGTCCCACCTTGTCCTCCTGGTGGCCGAACAACTTAAATCAGACCAGAATAGATGGATACTTAACCCTTTCAATCCTGAAGGCCCATGCAGTTAGTTTCTCCTAAGATACATACCCCATGTCGTTTCTAAGATTATTGCTGCATTTCTTAGTTGTTGAAAATCAACCGTGCCATTATTTCCACACTTTCTCTATCCTTCCTCAGGCCTGATGAGTTTTTTTTCCACTCTTTCAGGGCTCATTGTTGGGGTGATCCTGAGGTATGGTACCCCTGCTACCAGTGGCCGTGACAAATCACTCAGCTGCACTCAGGAAGACAGGGCCTTCAGTACCTTATTAGTGAATGTCAGCGGAAAGTTCTTCGAATACACTCTGAAAGGAGAAATCAGCCCTGGCAAGATCAACAGCGTAGAGCAGAATGATATGCTACGGAAGGTGAGCTGGGGACACTCAGTCCTCATTGTCCTGACATGGTTGTTGATTCCCTGACTCGTCTTGACCTTGTGGAGAGAAATCCTTCCAAACTCCTGGATTACTGGTAACATTCCTGGCTCTCTGTTTTGTTAGGAAGCTTTTTGGTCCATGATGAGGAGAAGGAAGAACCAGATCTTTAACTTGAGCCTTTCAGCTAGTGACCTTCGTGGGTTTGTTAGCATCTGTAGCTGAAATGGGTCACTGATTGTGCAATGGGTTTGTACGTCCCCACTCAGGTCATTTATCCAGCCACCATCTCCTCTTTGCTATGTCTCTTACCCTTCCTGTGGTTTAGGGATAATATTGCTACTTTCTTAAAATAAGATTGATTTCACCTTTAGCTTAATTTATTCAGTATTCACAAGGGTAATTCTTAGTTCTTCACGGTTCTTTTGCTATATCCTACAAATATTTGAGTGCTTACTCTTATTGGTGATTGATGCCAAAGGCTTAATGAATCTTCAGGGGAAGAAGAAGATCTTGTTGTCTTAGAATTAGAGTCCAAGCATTTTCATTTAATGTTGGAGTAGCAACATAGTCCACATGAAAAAGCATTATGCGTCTCCTTGCACGGGTAATTTCCAGGATAAGCAAGAAATCTGTATGAATTGATATATACTGCATTACCTTATAGACCAGGCTTTATCAGAAGGAAGCCTTCTGCATAGCAGTCTTGGGAGACCCAGGTTGTGGGAAGCCCCTTTTAATACAGCACAAGGCTAAGGTATGTGAAGGCTGACAGTGAAAGGCAGAGTGTAGCGTGTGCTCCAGAAATTAAATTCTTGTTGGTTTTGGAATCTAATCCTTAAGGAAAATTATTCTCCACCTGGAGCATTAAACATGACCATCTTTTCTGTGTCCCTAATGGCAGTACTCTTTGCTCTCAACTCTTCATAAGAAAGCATGGGGTTTTCATAAACATTCTGAAATTCAGTGCAACTGAGAAAGAAACCCAATGTAAATACCACACTTAATGGCTGTTTGGAAATGGCAGCTTGAGCCCTTCATACTGGATAAGACAGGGGGAAAAGGGAAATGATACCAACACATTTCCATCTTTCAGTTCATAATAGAAGAGGAAGCTGACTTTTGCTCCCTTATCTTTAGAAACCTGTTTATTTAAATCCCCTCTGTTTAAAACTTTGCTGCACAAAGCAAAGGTGGGAGAACAATCAAGGCTGGGATGATTGTTGCTAGTTGAGGGAAAAGAGACATGTTGATGTAGCTTGATTGATAAGGAGAGGATTGAACTGAGTGTCAGAAAACCCTTATGCTAGTTTGTACATTATTGGGTTTGGTGGCATCCAGCAAGTTTCACTGCCTTTGGGCCCAGTGTCCTCATATTGGGTAGGTACTGTCCAAGGCTCCTTCTTATTCTGACATTCCCTGCTTTGCAGAACACTCTTCTTTAACAAGAAGAGAGAATAAAGCATCATTTGAAAGAATCTACTTTTATTAGGCTGATTAACACCTCCAGTTTCTAAACAAAAAAGTTAACGTTTAATAACTAGAATGAAGGTTTAAAAATAATTAATTGAAACACAAGCCAAGTAATTGACCAGCATGAACAAATTCTTTAAAAAGGTTAGCATGTTTATAGCATGCTGAATTTTTTTCTGGATATGATAAAACTTTGCTCTCTAAAAGTTTCAGAGTCATTTGATTAATTTCCCTGTATCAAACCTATAAGAAATTTCAGTTCCTTTAAAGTTGCCCAATTTATGCTGATATTCAGGAAGCCACTAACATTGCTGGTGACTTTGATTTAGGCTACATCAAGTGTCACAGAAGGCTGGTCACTCAAAAGAGACTTAAATTCAGCACAATTTTGTCTATAAAGGATTCTGTGAGAGGATCCAGGAAGTTAATAAAGAATCACGATGGCATCTTTTATTGCAGTTGAGCCTTTATAAAGGTGTGATGAAAATCAAGATTTTGTTTTGTTTTGTTTTGTTTGTTTTTTGAGATGGAGTCTCGCTCTGTTGCTCAGGCTGGAGTGCAGTGGCGCGATCTCAGCTCACTGCAACCTCCGCCTCCCGGGTTCAAGCGATTCTCCTGCCTCAGCCTCCCAAGTAGCTGGGATTACAGGCATCTGCCACCATGCCCAGCTAAGTTTTGTATTTTTAGTAGAGATGGAGTTTCACTGTATTAGCCAGGTTGGTCTCGAACTCCTGACCTTGTGATCGGCCCGCCTCGGCCTCCCAAAGTGCTGGGATTATAGGCGTGAGCCACCACACCTGGCCAAGATGTTTTTATGAAAAACACTAGCCGGAAGCTTTCTGTGAGTTCTCAAAATTGCATGAAACTGTTGTGTCTTATTATGTTTTAAAACAGCACAAGCAAGATCATAAGAGCAAAATGTTATGGGGAGAAGAGCATGCCAGTCCATGGGGAGTCATAGCTTCTCCTCTGGGATAAGTCCATGATTTTTCACATTTATGTTATTTGCTCTAAATATTCAAACTTTAGTCAATGGCTTCAAATATTAAGCAAATATTATAGCATGAATTGGAGTTAAATAAAAAATTGGCTTTTTTTTCTTTTTAAACTTTCAGGTAACATTCGATCCAGAAGTATTTTTCAACATTCTTCTGCCTCCAATTATTTTTCATGCTGGATACAGCTTAAAGAAGGTAAGAGGTTTTTGCCAATATTTCTGAAATCATGTGAATCTCTGTGTTAATTTACCTGCATAATTTTCTAGTTATTTTTCTTCTCCCAGATTGCTTATTACTCTGTTCTTCACCCACTCAGAGACTATAGTTGACTTCTCATCAATGATTCATTTCTGTTTTAAAATCTGGAACTCCCATACATTGCCAGTGGGAATGTAAAATGGTACAGCCACTCTGGAAAACAAGTTGGCAGTTTCTAATAAAACTAAAGTTGAAATTGCCATATGACCCACAATTTCACTCCTGGGGATTTATCCCAGAGAAATGAAAACCTATGTTCACATAAAAACCTATACATGATTGTTCATACCAACTTGTAATAGACAAAGGCTGGAAACAACCAAAATGTTCTATAATAGGTGAATGGTTAAACAAACTATGGTATATCCATATTGTAGAATACTACTCAACCATAAAACAGAACAACCTATTGATACACCCAGTGACCTTTATGGATCTCAAAGGCATTATGCTGAGTGAAAAAAATCCAATCTTAAAAGGTTATATATTCTATGATTTCATTTATATAGCATTGTAAAAATGACAAAATTAAAGGGTTGGAAAACAAATTAGTGGTTGCCAGTGAATAGGGATGGTGGGGACATTGGGCTGGGGGTGCTTATAAAAGGATAGCATGAGGGACATCTTCAGGGTGATGGAACAGTTGTGTATTTTGATTGTGGTGGTAGTCATGCAAATCTACACATTTGATTAAATGACAGGGAACTATGCACACACATAATACATATAATGCCAGTTTCTTGGTTTTGATATTGTACCATAGTTATGTAAGATGTAATCACTGGGGGAAACTGGGCGAAGGGTACATGAGACCTCTCTGTACTTAATCTTTGCAACTTATGTGAGTCTATAATTATTCCAAAATAAAAAGTTTTAAAGAAACTAAGTATCCTTATTACTGAGGGTCATCGTGCTAGACAGCAAGGTTGGGCCAGAGCTTCTAGTTATTTAAAATGCAAAATACCAGCCTAGGCAACATAGCAAGACCATGCCTCTACAAAAAGTAAAAAAAAGTAGCTGGGCATGGTGGTACATGCCTGTGGTCCTAGTTACTCTTGGAGGAGTCTGAGGTGGGGAGCTTGAGCCTAGGAGTTTGAGGCTGTAGTGAGCCTTGATTATGTCTCTGTACTCCAGTCTGGGCCACAGAGCAAGACCTGGTCTCAAATAAATAAATAAATAAACAAATAGATAAATAAATAAAAACAAATGCCAAATATCTTTACAAATATTTATGGGTGGCTCTCTCCCTCTCCCATTGTGGTAATATTGTCTGAAAATCAAGCCTCCCCAAAGGCAGGTAACAGCTGTGGAACTTGTTTCAGCTCTCTTTCTGAATGAGGACTAAAGGAAACCTTTTCAGTGAGTCTAGAGAAGAGAGATTTTGCCTGACAATAAAACTCAGCAACATCCTTAGGATCTAGAAAATGCCTCTGAAACTGATAAACTCTAGCTAGATCAGTTGAGAAAAAAGGAGGAAAGAAACAAATTACCTGTATTAGGAATATAAGAAGGGACTTTACTACAGACCCTTCAGATATCAAAAGGATAAGGGAACACTATGAACAATTTTTGTGCCAATAAGTTTGACAACATCCTAATGAGATCTTGCCATGAAAAACAACTCAAAAAAAGAAAAATAAATAAATCTGGCAACCCAGGTGAAATGGACAAATTCCTTGAAAGACGTAAATTATCAACCTGAAAAGAGATGGAAAGCTTGAACCGACCTATATTAAAGAAATTGAGTTCATAATGAAAAACCTTTCCAGACACCCATATGGCTTTACTGGTGAATTATATCAAGCATTTATGGAATAAATAATACCAATCTCATACAAATTCTTTCACAAAATAGAAAAGGGAATACTTCCCAATTCATTTTATGAGAGGATGCCGGCCCGTCAGGCTGGGTTTTCTATCAAAGTCACTCTGTACTTTTCAGATGGTTTTTAAACAATTTCCAACCAACATAAATATAGTTTACAGAGCATTTGGTATGTATTAAGAACAGATATTCTTTATTTCTGTTTTTACATCCATTCTTTCTAATCTTCACAGAAACTCTGTAAGAAGGTGATGGTGATTGAAGATTAGTTCACACTGCTTCTCCCCCAGGTTTCCGACTCATTGATAAACAGACACAAAGAGTTAACTTGTGATTAAATGATTCATTTATGATCCAAAGTCCCTGGTAGATGCATGTTGGAGTATGTCACTTAACCTTTAGTAATGGGGCTTCTTACACCCTACCTCATGAATTGAGGACAGGTACCCTTTAGCCAGGTCGGTCACAGTTACACTTAAGGAGGCTGAAATGGAGAGATCCTAGAAATTGCTGGGCCTGCCAAAAGCTGCCTCTTTTGCTCACAGCATGGAGGCTAAAGGAGCAAAAACAATTCCCCACCTTGCACAACAAGGTCAAGATTACAAGTCAGGGTCAAACTTCCTCTTCCAGAGATCAAGTGACCCCTTCTTACTGCATAACCTTCAGGGCAAGAGGGGAAGAGGGAGAGAAATGGAACATAAGTTCCATCTCCATAATAGGTGCTTGAGGAGCAGAGGCTGTGTGTTTCTGCACACCAGCCCAGTGCATTTGTGTACTCACATGTAGAGTGTCCTGCGTTTTACTGATGATGAATCTCAGCTCAGAATGATTAATGATGCATATGAGATTACATAGATAGTGCGGGACTGAGTCAAGGTGACTCAGTCTGTCCGATTCCAGAGCCCAGAGTTGTTCTTTTGTGCCTTATTGCCTCTGGATTTAGGTTTTCCGTACAAAAAAAGACCATATCGTTTACCTGACTACTCTGGGTTGCCAGGGTCATCCGAATTTGTATGTCATTTACTGACATGTAATAGATGGGAGATGGTTATTATGGGTATAAATTACGTTATTTTTTACATAAGTGGAGAATTTGGGAACTCTTCTTCAGATCAAATGGGTGATGAGTAATTTGATATTTTACGTAACTAATCTTAATGTATAATCAGTCATAGTTGTTTTAAAATGAAACCAAATCATGGGTTGTGAAAGCCACTCTGATGGTTGAAAGACATTTTAGTTTTTGCAGAACCTTCCCTTTATCAGCACCATTTTCTCAACAGACAAACAACTCACAGGCTTTGCCAGTTCCCAATCAATTTGTTTTTGAAATACTAGCCTGAGTGGGGAAAAAAACCCACTAATTGGTTTTTCTCTGCTCTCACACTATGCTAACCAACACAGAAGACTTCTGTGATTAAATGTGGGAGGGATTTCTGCCTACCAGCAAACAGGCAATCAGTTCTGCAGCAGACACCAGCTGGGTGTCCTCCAGTTCAGTTCTGACACTATCTACCTGGAGATACTGCCAGATCCCACGGAAGGCTGAGTCCCACAATACTGCCCCCCGCCCCATCTCAGACACCTGTCACAAGTCTGGGACTTCTGACTGCCTGGCTTCAAGTTGGGGTTCCCATGACCCCCTCTTTCATTACTTTGCTGTAGTGGCTCACAGAACTCAGGGAAACACTCATATGTACCGGTTTATTATAAAAGATATTACAAAGGATACAGATGAAGAGATGCATAAGGCAAGGTGTGGAGAAAGCGGCATGGAGCTTCCATGCCCTCCCGGGGCACCACCATCCAGGAACCTCCATGTATTCAGCTATTTGGAAGCTCTCGGAACCCCATCCTCTTGAACTTTTTGTGGAGGTTTCATTGCATAGCCATGATTGACAACCGTGTAGAAAAGTGATTGGACAAAAGGGGTGTGATCTAATGCTGACAGACTGAGTGGGGAAACCCAGCAAGGCCTATGTGTTCAGATTCTTCTTGGCCTTTCTGTGTGGCATACCTTCCTCCCCAGTATGGGGCAAGATCCCTTCTGAAATGAGGGTCTTATGACCTACTTCAAAAAGGCAGGAGAAAATTAGAGTATATTTTTAGTTTCTATGGCCTGCCTTGGGACAGAAAAGGAGCAGCTGAAAGGAGGGCAAGAGAAGGTCAGAGAGATTCTATTTTTTTTTTTTTTGCTACCTGCTTCTGAGGCCTAAAGTGCCCAACATTACAACAAAAGACTGTAACAAGAGCTGTGGGAGCTTATGAGCCAGGAACTGTAGATGAAAACCAATACATACACATCATAATATCACAGCTAGTCTTTCAGGTTATCAACTATTAGTTTAGTCTCTTTCCTTTTTAAATTGCCCCTATAAAGGCACCTAAATAGTTGGTCCTTAATATGGTTACCATCTCTGATGAAACCTGTTGTCAGTGAAATGTGTAATAAATATTTCACCAATTAACGGATGGTATATACACAGATAACATTCAGACCCTCTGACCTATGCACATCATATAGCTATCATGCAGACCTGGGCCTTCTGACTTGAAAAAAGTTCTCATTGGAATTAGCTTTGATTTTGTGCTACCACTCATGGTTTGCTTAGAGGGCCTTGGCAGGGAAATAATTCACCCATAGGAGCCATTATTAGTGGACTCCCCCACCAAACACACACACACACACACACACACACACACACACACACACTCTTTCTCTCTCTCTGTCTCTCTTTCTCTCTCTCTCTCTCCTTCTGTCTCTCTCTCTCCCTCACTCTCACACACATATACAATAACATGTTAAAACTTGCCAGTGAGGAATGGGAGGGGATGGGATTTCCCAAGGAGTAGCAGTGTAAGGCTTAGAATGGTACAGCTAGAAATTGGGATGTCAGGTATATTTTCACCAAAGCAAAACTTCTCATCCTGGGCTGTCTTGGGCTTATATTTTTGAAGACTTTGCCAGGGCATGCCATCATCTCCTTTTGTCTCTTCTTGTCATTTTATAATTGAGGAGGAAAAGTAAGGGAGATTCTGAACTAATCATGGCTGTATTGTAACCAAATAAGGGTAGGATGAAAGATCTAGGATTTTACTGGATACCTCCTGTCCTTTCTTTCCCAAAGAGAAGTGGGAATCGAAGAACTGGGTAGCAGGGCAGCTTGCACAGTGAGAGCACGATGCTTTGGGGTCAGGAGACCACCTTTCCAGTCTGGGCCTTGGTTTGGCGGACATGTGACTTGAAGCAGCTTACATCATGCCTTTGAACCTTGGGTTCTCTCATATAAGGTGGTCCAAATAATACCTTCCAGATGGATCATTGTGAGAATTGGATGGGCTAATATATGTGAAAACACTTTGTGAACTATGAAGTATACATTTAAGTACTAGACATAATACACAAATAGTATAGCTTTTCAAAATACAGTTAAGTTTCAGCTCGCATCAGCAGATATGAACGGGAGATGGGTAATTGTGTGTGTGTGATTTTAGAATATATTATGAAAGTATTTTTGGCTACAGATTTACATTCCTAATTTTTTGCTTTGGCTAATGTCATGAATATGAATTTATCTAATTTATATTCAGAGTTACCATGGGAATATCTACCCAAAGGAAAGCTGAGTGGCAAGGAAAAGCACATCTGGGATTGAAATTTGTTCTTGGATACCTCACAAGTGTCATTCATCTGGTGCCTTGTTCTTGGTGCACTCCTAGCCCTCCCTGATTAAAGCCCTTTCTGGAGCTTTTAAAGAGAAGCAGACTCACAACTGTTGATTTTTTGGAAATATATATTTTTCAAAACATTGATGTATAAATGCATTTGATTAAAAACAAAAAGGCAGTTATTTAAGAGGCAAACATAATGTGTCCATCTTATGTACAGGCAGCACCCTCATTCGGTGCCTGTCAGCATGGCAAGCCCTTGAAGGATTCTCTCCTGAGCAGGTGGCTTAGGGGCAGCAGGCATTCCTTAACACCTTCACTGACTCAGATAGGGGCAAGCACTGGGAAGGCCCTGTGTCTGGGATGCAGACCAGAGGACACCTGCAGCCCTTTGTCTGGTCATGCTTCATGGTGGCTGCCTGATCTCGTCTGGGTTCTTCTTCCTGCACCCTGTCTTTTTCTGATGTTGCTCAGCTGACATGCTGGGGCTCTCCTGCCTTTAAAAAAAATCTAGGTAAAGTGTTCCTGGCCTTTGTTTGATCAGGGTGTTGGGAGATTTTGTCTGTTTGTGTTAAATAGTTCTGATTGTCAAATGAGAATGGCTTATGCCTTGAGGAGGCAGAACTGTGTCTTAGGATCCCAGGAACAGGCAGAATTTCCTCTGTTGGAATATCCCACAGGCCTAATGACTTGTAAGAAGTAAATCCTTCAAAGACAACATGGTAAAACAAGTAAATCTCTGTGTGTGTGTGTGTGTGTGTGTGTGTGTGTGTGTTTACATTTTTAAGGTAACCAATGAATGTGCAGAAGCATTGAAAGGATTGCAGTTTTGCCACCTCTTTCTGAATAATTTCTAGATGTGATATTGATGTGTGTTTCTTTTTGTATAAACTTGGCCATCTTAAATGGAACTATTTGTTTCTCATTTCTCCACATCCATCTCTATTGTCACTCTTTCCCAGGCTTCAGACATTAATCTAGATGAATATAAGGAGACGCTTCAGGTTCCATGAGCAGATATTTAGGACTCTGTTTTCTGATATCAAATTAAGCAGAAAGCTCATGACATAGCACTTTCACACTTTGTTTTAAACTTCTATCTGTGATGATCTTCTGAGGTACCACCAGAACTGGAAGTGATGTGCTGAATCACTGAGTAAAATGGTTTGGGTTAAATCTATAAAAATGATTGGTCTACTCACACACACACGTGCACAACATATACACACACGTACTGTAATTTAATGTAATCATCCAGAGCAGTTTTGTCTGAAAATTTACTAAGTCCTTGCTTACTTGCTCACTACCTGGCTGTATAGAAGATAACTTAAAACCGTGATGTCTAAGGTTAAATAGCACCATATAGGAGTAACTTCAGTTGTTACTTGATGTAATGGAAACAGTAGGTAGAGTTCCACTTTTTAGAGACTTTTAATGTGTTTCTTAAGCTCATTGTTGAACATCACAATGTGATTCCTGAGTTTTGTTTGTTTGTTTTATTCAGAGACACTTTTTCAGAAATCTTGGGTCTATACTGGCCTATGCCTTCTTGGGGACTGCTGTTTCATGCTTCATTATTGGGTAAGTGAACCTTTGTATTATAACCAAATTAACACACATTCCATAGGGATGAGATCCATTTGGGTCCACAGAGTCCAGTATTTTGATATTTTTGATGGCAGTCAGGATCGAGATTTACACTGTTCAGTATGGTAGCTATTAGCCACATGTGGCTATTTAAATTAAGATCAATTTACATGAAATAAAATTATACCCAATACCCAGATCTTGGTTTCTATTATTCTTTGATAAAAAGAGCCAGAGCCCCTTGCAGAAATGGCTAATTCTAGGGCTGGGGCAGGAAATATACAAGATGAAAAGGGAGTATCTTATAATGCCAGAAAGTAAGGAAGTGCTCAGAAAACAGACAGGCAAAAGAATGTGGGGGATGTCAAAGGGACACAAGAGCCAACTGAAAGCCCCTGTAATGGTCAAAGCCCCCCCAGCCAATGGCTGAAGAACAACAAAACAAATAACATTGTATTAGATTATCCCCAAGAGCATAAAGTAAATATCCCTGAGTCCGTATGGATATAAATAAGCGATTGGATGAATAAATAAATGGGGGAGAAGAGACAAATCTCCTGTGCGAAGAATTCCAAATACTTCATGTAGATACATCCCCCTCAAGGAGGTAGAGCTCAGTCCCCTCCCACTCCCTCTTTGAGTGTGGGCTGTGCATAGTGACTTCTTTCTGAAGAATACAGTACAGAAAGCAGGAAAAAAGAGTAGCTTTACAGTGGAGAAGCCTGACAAATACTACTTCAACCAGGTGATCAAGGTCAACATCAGCAGTGGTAAGTCACGTTGATAGTATGTACCTTGATATTTGTGATGAGAAGGATACTCTACCTCTCTGGTCGTTCGCTTAAAACCACATTACCTCAGTATAACCATGAGAAAAAAAATCAGACAAATCCTAGTCAAAGGATATATCTACAAAATATCTGACCAGTACTCCTTAAATCTGCCAAGGTCATCAAAAATGAGCAAAGTCTGGCTGGGCGCGGTGGCTCACGCCTGTAATCCCAGCACTTTGGGAGGCTGAGGCAGGTGGATCACAAGGTCAGGAGATCGAGACCATCCTGGCTAACACGGTGAAACCCTGTCTCTACTAAAAATAAAAAAAATTAGCTGGGCGTGGTGGCGGGCACCTGTAGTCCCAGCTACTCAGGAGGCTGAGGCAGGAGAATGGCGTGAACCTGGGAGGTGGAGCTTGCAGTGAGCTGAGATCACGCCACTGCCCTCCAGCCTGGGTGACAGAGTGAGACTCCATCTCAAAAAAAAAAAAAAAAAAAGCGAAGTCTAAGAAACTGCTGTCACAGCCATGAGGAGACTAAAGGGATTGGATGACTAAATGTCATGTGGTATCCCGGATAAGATCCTGGAACAGAAAAAGGACATTAGGTTAAAAACTAAGAAAATCTGAATAAAGTTAGGATTTTTATGAATTTTTTAACAATTGGCTGGAGATAATAGCAGGGGTCTTTTGTGCCATCACAAAAGGAGGGGCTTGGACTTATCCTTTAAGAGATACACATTATTGAAGAATGACACATTACATAACTGACATTAGTGACGACAGGAAGCAAAATGGGGAAAAGGCTACCGGAGAAGTCTATTGTGTAGGTCACAGACTGGTGGAAGGAAATGGAGAGGAAGGTCTTGTTCCAGGAATATTTAAAGGGTACATGAAAGAAGCCTTTGATAAGCAACAAAGGGCAAATCAAATCTGTAACATACAATTGCTGTGAAATGAAATTGAACTGGTTAAGTGTCTAGAACAGTGTCTGGCACACAATAGGCAAGCATTAAGTTATAGCTGTTTCTTCTCGAAAGGATTCCATTCTGCGAATAGTTCTTTTACTCCTAGCTTAGCTAGTCCACCCTTCTAAGCATTTGAGACACAAAGGTGGGCAGTGGCATCAAGAATCTCATTATTAGAGCATTGGCTGTAGGGTATAATGAGTCAAGTCCATGGTTATTTTTACTTCTCTAACCCCTGCAGCTGCTGCTATCACTGCTGCTGCCACCACACACACACGCACACGCACACACACATACACGTGCATGCACACATACCCTTGTAACACGTACTAGACCTTTTCACACTCCTCACTCCTCCCAATTTGCAAGCTGTCTTGTAGGAAATGTTCTTCCTCCAAGCTGAAAAATTAAACTTGGTAGTCCCTCTTAGCCCATGTCACAGTCTACATAGCATAAGGAGGGCTATTGCTGGCCCACCTGACCCATGCAAAGAGTGAAAGTCCAGATATCTTCATGGGTATATGGATGTTCTAATAGGATATTTAAAGATATTTGCCTCTTTTTCCTTTCTTTGAAATAATTTTTGGCAGAGAAGGCAGTAGTAGGTCAATCCCTTGGATCTTTGTGAACAACCCATTTTTTTCTCTCCGTTTTCATCCAGTCTACTGATTTCTCTGACTTTAAATGTATTATCTTAGAATCTTGTGAGTTTTGTAGCAACTTATTGCTACAAAAACATTATGCCAGGTTCTGTCTCTTCCTTTCCTCTGTATTACCCAGTTGTTTCAAATGCTTTAGCTTTGTTGCTAATTGAAGACTGTACTTCATGGTTGCTTTAGTTGTTAGAGTACAACTTTTAAAAATGAAATGTTCAGATATTTCAGCAAGATGACATTAACTTGCAAACTCTTACTTGATGCCAAAGTCCTATTTGCCAATGTCTCTAATAAGTGTCCAACCATGGCAGCTGCCTGTTAATTTTCATAAATCTCTAAGAACAGCATTCTAGTACTATTCTGCTTGCATGTTTGCTAAATTACTTATTTGTTTCTCCTGACATAGTTTACCTTACCTTCTTACAGAAATCTCATGTATGGTGTGGTGAAGCTCATGAAGATTATGGGACAGCTCTCTGATAAATTTTACTACACAGATTGTCTCTTTTTTGGAGCAATCATCTCTGCCACTGACCCAGGTATTTGGCTTTGCATATTTGGCTTTATTATTATGGTATTCCATTATTTAAATCTTAAAAAGTTCAGAGCAATCATTAACTTTTGTTGTAGTAGGGAGAATGTAGTATTTACTTGCATGGCATGGTGGTGGAAGAAGTGACCAATAGGTGGGTCTAACAGACTTAGATGGCTTTTCTTTTTCTTTTTCCTTTTTTGAGACAGGATCTCACTCTGTTGCCCAAGCTAGAGTGCAGTGGTGCAATCACAGCTCACTGAAGCCTTGACCTCCTGGGCTCAAGCAGTCCTCCTGCCTCAGCCTCCCAAGCAGTGGGACTATAGTTAGATGGCTTTTCTAAGAAGGGCATGCAATTTCCTTTTATATTATTAATTTTTCATTGTTGTAAAAATGCCTGACATAAAATTTACTACCTTAACAATTTCTTTTGTTTGTTTGTTTGTTTTTTTTTTTTGAGATGGAGTCTTGCTCTGTTGCCCAGGCTGGAGTGCAGTGATGCGATCTTGGCTCACTGCAGCCTCCACCTCCCAGGTTCATGCCATTCTTCTGCCTCAGCCTCTCAAGTAGCTGGGACTACAGGTGCTCGCCACCACGCCTGGCTAATTTTTTTGTATTTTTAGTAGAGGCGGGTTTCACTGTGTTAGTCAGGATGGTCTCAATCTCCTGACTTCGTGATCTGCCCGCCTCAGCCTCCCAAAGTGCTGGGATTACAGGTGTGAGCCACTGTGCCCAGCCTATCTTAACAGTTTCTAAGTGTATAGTTCAGTAGCGTTAAGTATACCCACGTCATTGTGAAACCAATCCCAAGAACTTTTTCATCTTGCAAAACTGAAATGCTGTACCCTTTAAACAACAACTCCCCAGTCTCCCTTCCCTGCAGCCCCTGGCAGCTATCTTTGACTTTCTGTCTCTATGAACTTGACTGCTGTAGAAATTTCATACAAGTGAAATCATGTAGTATTTGTCCTTTTGTGACTGGCTTATTTCACTTAGCATAATGTCCTCAAAGTTCATCCATGTTATAGCATTTGTCATAATTTCCTAACCTTTAAGGCTGAATAATATTCCATTCCATTGTATCTGTATAGCATGTTTTTTGTTGTTGTTGTTGTTTTGGTTTGGTTTGGTTTTTGAGATGGAGTTTTGCTCTTGTTGACCAGGCGGGAGTGCAATGGCACGATCTTGGTTCACTGTAACCTCCGCCTCCCAGGTTCAAACGATTCTCCTCCCTCAGCCTCCCGAGTAGCTGGGATTACAGGCATGCACCACCACGCCCAGCTAATTTTTTTGTATTTTTAGTAGAGACAGGGTTTCTCCATGTTGGCCAGGCTGGTCTCAAACTCCCAACCTCAAGTGATCCGCCTGCCTCGGCCTCCCAAAGTGCTGGGATTACAGGCATGAACCACCACACCCGGCTATATAACATGTTTTGCCTTTCATCTTAGAATGACTAATTTGGTCATAAGTTTTACACTTTGATTTTCTTCTTTCTCAGTGTTGCCCTTTTGCCTTCTTTTATGTAACATATCATTTGGTTTAAATAATACCTTTTCTTAGTAGAAACACACATGATTATCTGTAGTGAATGTAATTTAATTTGTAAACTCCTTTTGTGCAGCGTTCCTAGAGGATTGTGCACTGTGACATGGTTTTTATTCATCAAACCCTTGCCCTGTATTTTTCAAGTGTTGGTTGAACCAATTCTTACAAGTGAATTATTACACCCTCCCTTGCAGCTCAAAAACAAACAAAAAAATTATCCTTTCCAAGTTGGAACCTATAATTTGATCAGTTTGCATAAAGTAGTTACAGCTATTCTCTTCCTTAGTGTCAGCTATTGAGAGTACACCTTAGGGAAAGAAGTTCTGGAGAATGAGCTGCTCCTGTCCTCACGGTAGAGATGGAAAGGTCTGTTCAATGTCTTCAATGCCCTCTAATATTCTGAACAGTATTAACCTTAAAGATACTAAGATACTTGACCATGCCTCTTGGGGGTCCTCTCCATCAGTGCTATCTTATAGATCTTTCTGTGAAGATAGAGATGTTCTATAATCTGCAAGTCCATTGTGGTAACCGGTAGCCACATGTGGCTTTTGAGCACTTGAAATGTAGGGTAATGCAGTTGGGGGACTGATGTTAACTTTTATTTAATGTTAAGTAATTTAAATGTATATAACCACATGTGGCTAATGGTTACCACATCAGACAGCATAGCTCTAGACAGTTGTGTGGTTCTGAGGAATCTCAATGTTCAAAAGAAAAAAGAAAAAAAATTGACCTCTCTTACCCTCATATTTTATTACAAACATCCTGAGTAAATTAGTATTGAAGACTTGGCTGTCGAGGCACTCTGGTTTGTGAAAAGGTGGGATTTGGAGTCACAGGCCTTGAGTTGAGTTCTAGCCCTACCAATCACTGATTGGGTAGCCTGGACACATATTATCCCCTGACATCAGTTTCCTCATCTATAAAGTAGAAATGATGGCACCTATTTCCTAAGGCTATTGTGAAGATGAAATGAAACAACACGTGTAAGGCATAGAGTGTACCATCTCTAAATTATGCTGGTCTGTGTCCACATCTGACTCAGACAGAGATTTCTCAGTTTTCCATATGTTTAAAAAATAAATAAATAACAGATCATCTCTTAACCCAAGCATGTTTCCAAAGAGAACTCTGAAAATCAGTTTTATTATTTTAATCCTATGCTGTCTGTGACTGTCTCCAGATGTGTGTCTGTGGAGAAATAGATCTTCATAAGTCTGAGAAAGGTGTTTAGTCTGTCTGAAAATGTGTTTCTAAGTATACTCATCTATAATTTTATTACTAACGTCTTACTAGTACCACTAACAAGTAAAGGGAAGTTAGTTTAACATAAAGATTATTGATACTGTTTCCTGAGCTATCAGTGTTACTTCATTTAATTGGATAGAGAGGCTTACTTTTCTAGATTATCTTTGTAATTGTTTACTTCCCTTTAATGTGTCTATGCTATGGTAGAAAATAATGGAAGGGATTACCATGCTACTCCATTTTCACTTGGCCTATGAAGATTGGCACCGTAAGGGTTTTATAGAAATGGAAGTTGTAGGCCGGGCGCGGTGGCTCAAGCCTATAATCCCAGCACTTTGGGAGGCTGAGACAGGCGGATCACGAGGTCGGGAGATCAAGACCATCCTGGCTAACACGGTGAAACCCCGTCTCTACTAAAAAAAATACAAAAAAACTAGCCGGGCGAGGTGGCTGGCGCCTGTGGTCCCAGCTACTCGGGAGGCTGAGGCAGGAGAATGGCCTGAACCCGGGAGGCGGAGCTTGCAGTGAGCTGAGATCCGGCCACTGCACTCCAGCCTGGGTGACAGAGCAAGACTCCGTCTCAAAAAAAAAAAAAAAAAAAAAAGAAATGGAAGTTGTAGAAAATTGAAAGTTTAAACTTATTAAACATCAGGACATTAACTTTAACTGCTTTTTAAATAGAAATCTTCCTGAAATGTAGAATGCTTTTGCAAACTAGAAGTGTTTTACCAGCCTCCTAGAAATCTGTTGTTTGAAAACTTGGGTCATAAAAGAGATAAAAACTTAAGTGAAGAGTTAAGCATCACAAGACCAGATTGACTTCTAGTGTCTGCTGCATCAAACAAAAATTCTGATATTGGCAGCCTGGGCAACATAGAACTTCATCCCCACAAAAAAATTTTAAAAATTAGCTGGCCGTGGTGGTGATTGCCTATAGTTCCAGCTGCTCGGGGGCTGAGGCAAGACGATTGCTTAAGCCCAGGAGTTTGAGGCTGCAGTGAGCTGTGATCGCAGTACTGCACTCCAGCCTGGGTGACAGAGCAAGACCCTGTCTTTAAAAAATGAAACAAAAAACTTTATAGTATTAGGATACAGAATCATATTGACTGATATGAAGGAATAAGAATCCTTGTCCCTGATTACTGTACTTGGCTTGAGACATGAGTCTTTGGTCTTCTGGTCAAAGTTGACATAGTATGTGTGGGATAGTGTAGGCTGCACTGTGACAGGGAGCCTTCTCCACTCTGTGGTCATGTGTCATGGCTGCCATGTGCCATCTTTGTGGGCTTTTGTTTTAGACAGATCCACAATTAAAGGAAAAAAACACATTTCCACCCCATGGTGCCTTCCTAGGAAGCCACCAGAGAACACATGCCATTGCACTCCAGCCTAGGCAACAGAGACCCTGTCTAAAAAGAAAAAGAAAAGAAAAATAGAAACCTGTGAGTCAGGCTGATTGACTCAAGGAGTGCAAAGGTGATGAGTTAAAATTGGGGAAATGACATCATGATGGTTCACAGGAAGGGCATGCAATTTCCTTTTTTATTATTAATTTTTTATTGTGGTAAAAATGCCTGACATAAAATTTACTATCTTAACAATTTCTTTTTTTTTTTTTTTTTTGAGACGGAGTCTTGCTCTGTCGCCCAGGCTAGAGGGCATCCTCTGGGACTTGGTTCAAATGTGCCACCTGCCTAGTCACTCTTTCTAGACTCCATTATCTGCTCCCTCAGCTCTTTGAGTTAGGTCTGTTTTGTACATGTCAGTGCTTGCCACTTTGTACTGAGTGCTCACAAGGGCTAAGTGCCCTTGAGTACACGGATGAAGTGTCCATGAAAAGTTAGCTGAACGAACACATTTAGGTCCTTGAGTTTTTCCTTCTTCATATATCTGCCATTCTTTTGTTTTTCCCACTGCCTGTACCCAGTGATCTTCAGTTAGTTAATTGTGATTTCTTAGTCTGTGTCCAGTTGGAAACAGCTATGACCCTGCTCACCCTGATTTCAAGGGTCCTGCTGTAGGGAGGAGGGCAGTTTGTTTCATCTCTCCCACCAGAAACCACTTAGCCAGTCTTGTCATCCCCATCCCATCGTCTTCCAGTTGTCAGCACCCACATCCCTCCTTGTGATCAGGCACAGACTTGCTCAGGAGGGGCACAGAAGGGATCCTGACCTGTTTTGTGAGATAATGAGCAGGGAGAATGAGAAGTTGAAACTTAGATCAATGCTATGTAAGCATTTATTGTTATTATTATTAATTATGCTTTTAGGCCAGGTGTGGTATGCATCTGTGGTCCCATCTACTTGGGAGGCTGAGGTAGCGGGGATTGCTTAAGCCCGGGAGTTCCAGGCTACAGTGAACTATAATCACACCACCGTACTCCAGCCTGGGCAACAGAGCAAGACCCTGTCTCAAAAAAATATAAAAATAAAAATAAAATTTTTTAAAAATTGGCAAAACCAAACGGTAGCGTCAGGGAATGTGTATTTGTGTGATTAAATTATAGGGAAAGGCAAGAAAATGATGACTATAAAATTTAGTTTAGTGGTTCCCTTTAGTGAAGGAAGAGGCTTCAGACTGGGATGGGACATATGGGGGACTGACAAAGTTCCATTTCTTGAACAGGGAGGTGGTTACAAGACTGGTTGGCTTATAATAACTCACTAAACTGAACATTTGTTTGGCTTGGTTTTCTGATTGTATCAATTAGTAATGCTTTTGGCTGCAAAGAACAGAAAAACCTGGCTAATTCCTGCTTAAACGAATAGATATTTATCTTGGGTACCAGTACCGGGGCTGATGTCCCGGCTTCCACTACAATCAAAAAGTACTACACTGTCTTTCTGCTGCACTGTTCTGGGGTTTCAGTCACCCATCAGTTGCCCCATGGAGGCAAGATGACTACGTTGGTATCTGGCCTCTCCGCCTTCTTCCTGACAGGAAGAGGTGATGCTTTCTGCAAGAGAAGCTGGGAAAGTGGGGTTTTAGTTTTTGCAGTCCTATGGTAGAAACCATTGAGAGAGGGTAGTTGGGTCTGAGTGTTGAGAGAGAACACAGCTCTTGTGCATATATCTAGAGCGGTGGTTCTCAATCAGGGACAATATTGCCCACACCCTCACCCCTGTCATTATTATTTTAAGCAACACACACCATATTTCAAAGGCTTGGCAAAAAGATAGAATTTATAAAATCTAATTAATCTTTTTTTTTTTTTTGAGATGGAGTTTCACTCTTGTTGCCCAGGCTGGAGTGCAATGGCGCAGTCTCTGCTCACCACAACCTCTGCCTCCTGGGCTCAAGCGATTCTCCCACCTCAGCCTCTGGAGTAGCTGGGATTACAGGCGCCCACCACCACACCCGGCTAATTTTGTATTTTTAGTAGAGATGAGGTTTCTCCATGTTGGTCAGGCTGGTCTCAAATCGCAACCTCAGTGATCTGCCTGCCTTGGCTTCCCAAAGTGCTGGGATTACAGGCATGAGCCACCGCACCCGGCCTTTTTTCTTTTTTTTTTTTATAGAGGCTTGCTCTGTCGCCCAGGCTGGAGTGCAGTGGCACGATCTTGGCTCACTGCAACCTCCGCCTCCTGGGTTCAAGTGATTCTTTTGCCTCAGCCTCCCAAGTAGCTGGGATTACAGGTGTGTACCACCATGCCTGACTAATTTTGTATTTTTAGTAGAGACGGGATTTCACTGTGTTGGTCAGGCTGGTCTCAAACTTGTGATCTCAGGTGATCCACCTGCCTCGGCCTCCCAAAGTGCTGGAATTACAAGCGCGAGCCACCGTGCCGGCCAAAATCTCATTAATCATTTGTATAATAACTTTGTTATTTTATCCTTGGCTCTATTGAGCCAGAGAAATCAAAGAGATTTCAACACACTGGTGAAGTCAAATTACATTGATTGTCATTAGTTTTTGAAGTTCTGTAACAGATACTTTCAAAGTGTGATGGGATCACGGTGGAAAGCATAGTGTTTTGGTGCAGTGTCATTAGACTCAAGCATCATATCAAAGCTCCTTCAGATAAGGAAGATTGCTGTTTTCATTTCTGCCACAGATAGACAAGTCTGTCTTTGACCCCCTTGCTATCTCTTGAATCACCCAGTCCCACTCAAGATAGAAATTGCCTCTATAAATCTGTAATCAGTGGTTTAAGGTCAGAAACCAAAACTAATTTCTGTGCTTTTGGCTCACTTTTCAGTGACTGTGCTGGCAATATTTAATGAATTGCATGCAGACGTGGATCTTTACGCACTTCTTTTTGGAGAGAGTGTCCTAAATGATGCCGTTGCCATTGTACTGTCCTCGTAAGTAGCAGTGTTTCTGCTGGAGAAGAGACACCTTGGTTTCCTGTATGCTTTGGGCTAAATTCAGAGGCTCATCTTAAATGTATTACATATTGAATTGGGTGTTTTTCTAAATGAGATTTATCAGCTTCGTGGATAAAATTATGTTGCTTAGTGTGCCCAGCAGCGATCAGAATGCTGACGCCAGTGTAACATGGTGGCTGCAGATTAAATTAAATTAATTTGCCCTGGGCAATGCTGGCCACAAATTAAATTAAATGAATTTACCCTGGCCAATGCTTGACAAAATGTAGATACCTATGTTTGTCGATATTTTCAGGTACCACGGTGTAAAACCAGTGCAGTCTTTTAAAATTGTCTCTTGTTTTTAAACTTCAGGTCTATTGTTGCCTACCAGCCAGCAGGACTGAACACTCATGCCTTTGATGCTGCTGCCTTTTTTAAGTCAGTTGGCATTTTTCTAGGTATATTTAGTGGCTCTTTTACCATGGGAGCTGTGACTGGTGTTGTGACTGCTCTAATATCCTTTTTGTAGTTTCAGTTACGGCCTGGGTATGTGTGTGTGGCATTACACTTTCGAAAAGAAAGTTCTCGGCTGTTCTTTCAAATTGGAATCTTACATTGATTGTTCCACTGGGGTGTGATGGCTCCTGAAATATGTCACTTTGGTGAAGCATGACGGTTAGGTCCCTAGCTGAGAGTCTGAAAAAATGTTTAGGAATACAAGCCTAGACTTCGCTCTGTCTTCACCTTTGCTTTTTCTCTCCCTTTCTTGTGATCCAGTTGGGGCATCAGTTTTAGAGGGGCGAAAAGAGCTGAGGAGCCAGGAGGTGGCTGGGAATTAGGGACTATCGGCTGGGAAGTACTTTAGCCCCAGCTAGCTGCTGCCACCTGCTGTTCTGGGCCGCATGGTGTTATGTGGCGATAGCTAGTTAGTGGCCTTCCATAAGCAAAGGATGGCTGGGATTTAGTTTAAGCAAACTAAAAAAACAAAATGTGGAAAGAGCAGGCATCCCTTCTACACATGTGCTGAGTCCTGCATCATATCCTCTTTGGTGGGCAGTGCTATGTAATTTAAACCACATCATTCCAACATGTAATCAATATGGAAAAAAACCCAAAATTATGATAAAATAATTAATGAGATGTTATACATTCAATCTTTGTGGCAAGCCTTTGAAATATGGTGTGTGTGCCGGGCGTGGTGGCTCACACCTGTAATCCCAGCACTTTGGGAGGCCAAGGCAGGCAGATCTCCTGAGGTCAGGAGTTCGAGACCAGCTTGGCCAACATGGTGAAACCCTGTTTCTACTAAAAATACAAAAATCAGCCGGGTGTGGTGGTGCACGCCTGTAATCCCTGCTAATCAGGAAGTTGAGGCAGGTGAATCACTTGAACCCGGGAGGTGGAGATTTCAGTGAGCCCAGACCGTGCCATTGCACTCCAGCTTGGGCAACAGAGCAAAATTCCATCTCAAAAAAAAAAAAAAAAAGAAAGAAAGAAAGAAAGAAAGAAATATGGTGTGTGTGTTGCTCTTACAACACATCTCAATTTGGAGTAGCCACATGGTAAGTGTTCAGCTACCACACTGGATAGCGCAGATTTAAATTGCTTTCTTCACAAGGGCCCTTTTGATGCCCTGGAGACATATATTGCTCAGTGGAATCCCTCATGAGACGCTTCTATGCTTGGCCTGTGTCGAATGGCACTGTTACAAGAAGGATCTCTGGTCCGAAAAGGTGACACCAGCACCTGGTAGCTGCCTCAAGAATTGTGCATTTCTTTCTTTCCTGTGCCTTCCTTAGGCACCTGTTGTGGACTCAGGTGGCCTCAGTGGTGCCCAGGGGTCAGGGTCTCACAGGCCTTGTCTTCACAGCCCTGCTGGAACCAACCCAACAAGCCAGCCTGACGTCATGACCATGCCTCTCAGAACCATGGCCATTCAAGGAGCACAGAAAACCAGTTGCCAGTTTCTCTAGAAAGCTGAATTTATTTAAAAAACAAAAAATAAAAACAAACAAACAAAAAACACCTTACTGACATATAATTTATATACCATTTAAATGTAATGGCTTTTGGTATATTACATGATAATTTTTTTTTGACAGAGTCTCGCTCTGTTGCCCAGGCTGGAGTGCAGTGGTGCGATCTCAGGTCACTGCAACCTCTGTCTCCTGGGTTCAGTCGATTCTCAGCCTTCTGAATAGCTGGGATTACAGATATATGTCACCACACCCGGCTAATTTTTGTATTTTTAGTAGAGACGGGGTTTCAGTATGTTCAGACTAGTTTCGAACTCCTGACCTCAGGTGATCCACCCACCTTGGCCTCCCAAAGTGCTAGGATTACAGGCATGAGCCACTGCACCCTATGTGATTAGTTTCTTAAAATTGTGGTAAAATATAGCTAACGAGATTTGTCATTTAACCATTTTTAAGTGCACAATTCCGTGGGGATTAAGTACATTCACAATGTCAGGTAGCCATCCCCTTGTCTACTTTCAGAATTTTTTCATCATCCCAAACAGAAGTTCTGTACCCATTGAACAGTATCTCACGGTTTCTTCCTCCAGCCCCTACAAAACTTGTGTTCCACTGGAAAGCTTAATTTGTATTACTTAAGAAATCTCCAGCAGCTTTAGAGCCTCCGAAAAAAAAGGTTGAAGGGAAAGGCTAACCCTTTGGGGAGGGGTCCTGGGCTAGTGGAGTATGGTTCTTGGTGGCCCTGATACATGTACCTGGAGACAGGGTCCTTGACAGAATGCCAACGTGACTAAGTTTACCAAACTGCACTGCTTCCCCCTGCTGGAGACAGCGCTCTTCTTCCTCATGTCCTGGAGCACGTTTCTTTTGGCAGAAGCCTGCGGATTTACAGGTAGGTTTTCTCTACTCTTGCACCACCCTTCCCCTCACTGTAGTGGGGCCTGTGGGAACTTGAAGGAAGCAAAGAATTCTTAGATAGCAACTGCATGGAGTTTAACTGTTCAGCAAGTGTCCGTATGAAGGATTGCTGAGCAAGGCTAGTGTTCTGTCTTAAATGGATTGTCTACTTTCCAAAAAGCTAGATTTTATTTTATTTTATTTTTTTAGAGATTGGGTCTTGCTCTGTCACCCAGGCTGGAGTGCAGCAGCACAATCATAGCTCACTGTAACCTCGAACTGCTAGGCTCAAGGGATCTTCCCCCTTCACCCTCCCAAGTAGCTGAGACTACAGGCACGTACCACACCCAGCTAATTTTTTTATTTTTTGTAGAGATGGAGTTTGCTATGTTGTCCAGGCTGGTCTCAAACTCCTGGCCTTAAGTGATCCTCCTACCTCAGCCTCCCAAAGCACTGGGATTACAGGCATGAGCCACCATGCCCAGCCTGAAAAAGTAGATTTTAATGATAAAGCTTATCATTCCAAAGTCAATTACATTTTTGAGTACTCATTCTAACTATAAGTAGATGTTAAGGTGCAAAGAATCTATTAAAATTTTATTTGTATATTTCCCTTGATTGCTATGTTATTTTACAAACAGTAGCAATAACAAGCAAAATATGTGTCCTTTAAAGGGTGATTTTGCATCTGCTCAGGTGGATGTGAACACGGTTTTTCATTGTTGTGTCTCTGGGCTATTTAATCGTTGTTTTTCAATATCAAATTTTTATGGTGTCAGTTTCATATAGTATTAATGTGGTGAAACGTGGTTTTACTTCCTCACATTCTTTCATTTTTAAAAAAATCATTGAATTTTTCCATTAGAAAATTCAAGTCACAATAGCAAAGACTTGGAATCAACCCAAATGTCCATCAGTGACAGACTGGATTAAGAAAATGTGGCACATATACACGCCATGCCGAAACTATGCAGCCATAAAAAAGGATGAGTTTGCGTCCTTTGTAGGGAGTTGGATGCAGCTGGAAACCATCATTCTTAGCAAACTATCACGAGAACACAAAACCAAACACCGCATGTTCTCACTCATAGGTGGGAACTGAACAATGAGATCACTTAGACTCGGGAAGGGAACATCACACACCGGGCCTATCATGGGGAGGGGGGAGGGGGAGGGGGAGGGATTGCATTGGGAGTTATACCTGATGTAAATGACGAGTTGATGGGGTGCTGACGAGTTGATGGTTGCAGCACACCAACATGGCACAAGTATACATATGTAACAAACCTGCACGTTATGCACATGTACCCTAGAACTCAAAGTATAATAATAATAATAATAATAAAAAGAAAATTCAAGTACAGTTACTGTACATAATCCAGGTACTTAGGATGTACTTTTATCACCCTTTCAAAATACTGTAGAAAATCTTTATATGCAGCATTACAAAATGCCCCACTTCCTTAAAATTTAACAGTTATCTGTAAATGTGTAGGCAAAGTCCCAGGTGCGTCAGTTGTCTCACACAACAAAATGATTACCATTAACCAGAAATATAGAAGATCGGGGCTTGGATAAATGGAATAGTACTCTTGATCTGTTTTGTCTGAAGTCCTAGACTGTGAAAAAAATATAGGCCAGGCACGGTGGCACATGCCTATTTAAACTCAACACTTTGGGGCCAAGGCAGGTGGATCTCTTGAGCTCAGGAGTTCAAGACCAGCCTGGGCAAGATGGAGAAACCCCATCTCTACAAAAAAATACAAAAATTAGCTGGGTGTGGTGGTGTGCACCTGTAGTCCCAGCTACTCAGGAGGCTGAGGTGGGAGGATCACTTGAGCCTTGGAGATAGAGGCTGCAGTGAGTCAAGATCATGCCACTGCCCTCCACTGAGGGATATATAATATATAATCCACTTTGTCTCAAAAAATATATATGTATATAAAGCATTAGTTTGAAATTCAGTTCATTCATTCTAAAAACAGTGAGGAATATGACAAAAATTTGGATGGGCCCTCACAGTCTCTTTGAGGGAATGAATGCTATCTGCCAACTACAGATGGTAGTTGGAGGAGTTTAGAGGAGGCAATAGATACCATTAAAACTGGAACAAGGAGGGGATGTTGAGGTACTTGGCTTTGAAGGAAGGCAGGGTTGAGAGACAGAAAGGTTGATATGAGGTGAAGGGTTGTAGGAGTGTTCAGTAGTAATAGGAAACTTTTTTTTTCTTTTCTTTTCTTTATTTCTTTTTTCTTTTTTTTTTTTTTTTTTGAGAAAAGGTTTCCCTCTGTTGCCCAGGCTGGAGTACAGAGGTGTGATCAGGGCTCACTGCAGCCTCAACCTCCCAGGCTCAAGTGACCCTCTCACCTCAGCCTCCGAGTAGCTGGGACCACAGGCCCACATCACCACATCCAGCTAATTTTTTGTATTTTTGGTAGAAATGGGGTTTTACCATGTTTCCCAGGCTGGTCTCAAACTCCTGGGCTCAAGCCATCTGCCTGCCTTGGCCTCCTGCAGTGCTGGGATTACAGGTGCGAGCCACTGTGCCCGACCCAGCAATAGGAAAGTTTCAAAAATATCCAGGAAGTTGGATATGCTAGGCTTGCCTACCTTAACCTTTTGTTCCAGCAGGGTTTTTTTCCCCTGCCTCTTTATTTTCCATTGATTTTTTGGGGGGATGTTTTAACAGGTGTTGTAGCTGTCCTTTTCTGTGGAATCACACAAGCTCATTACACCTACAACAATCTGTCGGTGGAATCAAGAAGTCGAACCAAGCAGGTGAGAGAGAGGCTTGGTACTCACGAGTTGCTTGTTAACACAGGGAAGGGGGAACTGCAGGGTTTACAGCTTCCTTTTCCCTTCTCTGTGCAGCTCTTTGAGGTGTTACATTTCCTGGCAGAGAACTTCATCTTCTCCTACATGGGCCTGGCACTGTTTACCTTCCAGAAGCACGTTTTCAGCCCCATTTTCATCATTGGCGCTTTTGTATCCTTTTCTTGTTCCACCATTTTCTATATGCAGAGACAACCACTGTTGGAGAAGCTATAGTAATAATAGTCATAATAATACTATAAGATAACAATAATATAATCATATAAAATCTCATAAAATAATAATTACGGTTTCTGTTTTGGGTAGGTGACTAAGTCCATGCTAGTTCACAGGGTTTTTATGATGAATAAAAGAAGGCTTAAGTGGCATTTCATAACGCTAAATGTATTTGACTTAAAGGACTGCATGTATTCCAAGGTCATCCTTTCAGCCTTTTCTGTGTAAGATGGCCTTTCTGTTAAACTGGTGCTCAGCAGGTGATAGTTTGTTTTGTAAAGTGCCCTTCTGGGTGTATCTAAAAGTCAGCAACCATGTCAGTCTCCAGTGTTATTTTTGACATTTCATTGCTGTATGAATTCCAATCCAGGAGGTGCCCTGATTTGGATGACCCAAAGGTTCTCCTCTTGCTCGTAACTACATCCACAGTATGCGAAGCCCTTCCTCACACTGCCCAGGGTTGCTTGCAGGCAGTGACCCTACTGTTTCCTCAAGCTTCCCTGCTGCTGCAGATCATGGTAGAAGACTCTTTCTCCCCACCCCCACCAAAAAAAGGAGAAGGAAAAAAAATGAGGGGAAGAAAAGATAAAATAGAAAAATACTTGATTCCTTGGTCTGGGCCCATTGTAAATGCAGTTTCTGGAAAAGAGACATAATTTGCGGGATTGGCTTCTCTCATGTCCCTAGCAGTGGATGGATAGCTGAGGGTTTTGCTCACTTGGCCTCAGATACTATGTTTTTATTAAAGCGAACTTTTCTGGGGCTTGATTTCAAGATACTGAGCATAGTCCCCTATTGCTGGACATGCACATTTGCCTTTTCTGAGGCCTCATGATTATCCTTAGATTTTGGAATACTGGCCAAAAAGGAGTGTTTTTCTCTCTGGGCTTAATTTATTGTGCAGGAATGACTGACACTCACCAAGCTGCTGGACAGTGACAGTGGCCTAATGCAATACTGGTTAGTGTGAGAGCCTCCTACGCTTAAACCGGTGGCTCATTTCTTGGATTTCCATGCTTTACCAGACTAATAGCTAAAAATCTGCAAGACCAGTGTTTTTATTCTTTTTTGAGAAAGACCTTGCATGTTGTTTTGATTTGTATTCCTAGCATGACATCCTGTGAGAGATAGTGAGAGTACAGCCCTGTTTACAGATGAGGGCCTGGCAGAGGCCAAGCCAGGTCCTCTGCAGATCCTAACTGCTGCCTACCACTTAAGGACTTTTGCTTCTCTTCTGGGATAGAATGTACTTTGTAAGCATTACCTTGTTCTTTCTGCTTAAAACAAAACAGAAAGAAAATGGAAGAAAAACAGGCAGTGCTTTACCCTGCAGGAGACAGAGAAGATAGTTCCGCCCTGGCTTCTGTCTGAAACAGCTGCAGCTCCTGCAGCTGGTGTTTTGCCAAAACGGAAGCTCCCTGTTCCTCTGGCTCCCACAGGCGTTCCCTTCTCTGACCAGGGGAGTGTGCAGCTCTCTCAGCTGGGCACTGTTCTAAACTCAGAAGTGACAAAGGACCAGTTTCCCTGAATTCTTTGGTTTCCACAACAGAGTTCCTTTTTCCACCCTCCTTTTCCATTTCTTACATCTCCAAAAGACATTTTAGCTACTTAGGTAGAGAAATATCTCCCTGGGTTCATTCCTGTGAGTGATCTGAATGTCTTTTAGTGTTATGAATATTTTAAATTTCCCCACCTCTTATTTGCAGGCTCTTTCTGGCCATTAAAATCTCTGATGTTTACTTGCAAATGAAGCCTGCGAGCACTTACCCAGCAACCTTTTTCTTTATAGTTTGACTGCAGGATTAGCAATTTTTTTCTTCTAGTGCCTTTTCTTTTAGTAGAGCCCAACAGACACTGTTTGCTTCTCTCAACTGCCCTCTCCTGCCATGGTACTTTAGCTGATTTCTGGACTCCTTTTTAGATAGATAGATAGATAGATAGATAGATAGATAGATAGATAGATAGATACCAGTTGAATTAAATCAAGAAGTTACAACAGTGTGTTTAACAAGCTAGAAATGATCTCTATGAATCAGGAGATGGGGAAGCTTAGCCAAACTACTCCCATTTTGTTGCTGAGAAACTTGTCTAGAGAGAAACTAGATAGCCGGGCTTCTTTGGGCAGCTCTCTGGACTATAATGAGGCATCACAGCATTCCTAAAATTCTCTGCTGAGCCGGAGGCTGTGTGGAATGCCATTCTGGAAACTGTTGGGCCCTTAACCTCCACCTGTGGTCAGGTTGCCATCTTCCTGGGCAGAGCTGCGCACATCTACCCGCTTTCCTTCTTCCTCAACTTGGGCAGAAGGCATAAGATTGGCTGGAATTTTCAACACATGATGATGTTTTCAGGTAAAAAGGCGTAAGTGTAAAGAAAATGAGTTTTATTCAGCAGGTAACAAGAATATGATTAAAATATAATTGATAAGGTTCATAAAAAGGCAAGCATTCAAGTTTCTGGTCCGTTCGTATCCCCTGCAGTGAGGAATAGACAGATGTACATGTTCAATTGAGTTAGTGTTGATTTTGCAAACCATACTACCAAATGTGAATGTTCTCCCCTAAATTATTTGCATTTCTATTTCATCACTACCACTCAAGGGACCTGGAGATATGGTGTTTAAAGTGCTTGATTGTTTTCTAGAAGATCTTCATAACCCTTAAGCTTCCTGAAGGGCGCCAGGTCTAGAATTAGAAGGAAAAGAGCTCCTGATGAGAAAGAGCACTGGCCAAGTCACTCAGCACCTCCCAGCTGCAGTATCCTCTCTTGTAAAATAATGAAATTGAACTAATTAGCTGAGGTCCCCCAGCTCTAACTTTCTGTGGAGCAAAAGAAATAAAATACACTCATGTAAGCAAGGGGGACCCAACACTGGAATTTAATAGCTGTGATCATCCTGCTGAATTGACACTGTCTCCCGCATGCCCCCCCTTTTCCCTGTAAAGCTCAGAAGTCTGGAGAAGCCACTGAGGGGACAAAGGACAATAAAGAAAGCTGTGGAAGTAGAGTAAGGAGAGAGTAGCTGGCATGAGTGGATGATGCAGTGAGGGTGGTAAGCGTCAGCTTTATATAAATGAGACCCAAGTTAGAGCATTTCTGCAGAACAGAGGGAGGAGAAGTTAGTTGCAAAAGGCTACTGTGACCCTTAAAGGCATCTCTGTCCTTTAAGACAGAGAGTGAGTTGCAGCCACCATTACTGCCATGCAGTAGTTATTGGGGGGCTCACAGAGTCATAGTGAAATCAAACCAACAGGCACTGCTCAGTAAAGCAGTCATTTTGTCTCACACTAGCTTGCCTCTGAACTTAGATACAGGTACAGTCCTCTAAGATGATTTCCTTTTACTCTGACAAACATTTATTGAGCATCCTCTTTTCATAAGCCACAGCTCTAGGTTGTCGAGGATGCAAAGACCAGCCTCCTTCACGGAGCTCACAGTCTGCTGGGGGGAGGCAGGTACACAAAGACTTCATTTTCTTCCAAGAGAGGTTGGTGAATTGCACAAAAGAGGTCTGAAAGAAATGTGGACAAGAAGAGAATGGCTCAGGGCCATCTTCACTAAGGGAGTGGCCTTTTAGCTAGGCTTGGAAGAATGGAATTTCAGGAGGCAGCAGTTTGGGAAGGCAGAAAAGCATTGGCATGCCTGGCTTGTTTAGGGAAGGGCAGCAGTCTGGTTTAAATGTCAGATACATGGAGTAATTCAGAAAGAGGGTGAGGTTGACCACCATTGCCGCCTACAAGCTGTGGCTGATCTGGCACGGGGAGAGTGCCTGGAACCTGGAGAACTGCTTCAGTGGCTGGAAGGACACTCCCTGAGCCCGGGGCCCACAAGGAGGCGAAGTGAGGTAGACAGGCACTACAAGATGCTGGCTATAAGTTCAACATCTGCTTCACCTCAGTGCAGAAGAGAGCAATCTGGGCCCTCTGGACAGTGCCAGATGCCACTGACCTGATGTGGCTGCCCGTAGTGAGGACTTGGCATCTTAATGAGTGGCACTCTGGGCTTCTGACCGACCTCCATAAAGCAGAAACTGCTGCCAAGCATGGTAAAGATCTGGAGGCGCTCCTGTGATGTCCCACCACCTCTCATAGAGCCCAATCATCCCTTCTACAGCAGCATCAGTAAAGATCGCAGGTATGTAGACCTCACTGAAGATCAGCTACCCTCTTGTGAGGGTCTGAAGGTCACTTCTGCCAGACCTCTGCCCCTTTGGAATGAAGAAATAGTTCCCCAGATTGAGGAGGGGAAATGGGTACTGATTACAGCCCACGGCAACAGCCTCCCCGGCATTGTCAAGCATCTGCAGGGTCTCTCTGCGGAGAGGAACCTGCCGACTGCTATTCCCGTTGTCTATGAATTGGACAAGAACTTGAAGCACATCAGGCGCATGCAGTTCCTGGGGGATGAAGAGACCGTGTGTAAAGCCGTGGAAGCTGTGGCTGCCCAGGGCAAAGTGAAGAGGTAAAGGCCAGCTGATAGACTACTTTCCCTGGGAACACCCGCCTTGCCCATCCCTTTCTCTGTCCCTCCCCACTGCACATGTCACACTGACCACATCTGTAGGCATCTGAAGTTGTAGCTGCAGATGGGTACCAGTGACTCCCGTTTTTCATTTCAGCCATTTTTCTCCTGCACCCACTGTCTTCACACAATCTAGTCAAGATAGCACCTCCAGGGAGGGCACGGCTTCTCAGTCCAAGCCCAGGGAAAACTCCCCTTATCCAAAAGAGTTGAGAGGTAGTGACTTGGGTTTTTACCAGGGCTTTGTGTACTAAGGACCTGCTTGAGTAGGAGACAGGGAGGAACCATGCTAAGGCACGGCCAAAGAGGAGAAGCAAGAGAGCCTGTTTGCCCCCAGGAGCCAGTCCTGTGTTCTTCTGTAGTCAGGCCACTGCCTGGAGGGCTCTAGTCATTCCAGTGGAAGATAACTGTAACCAGCATGGTGATGTAAAAACAAAAAAAACAAAAAACAAAAAAACGGTTTCCTTCCTGACCCCAGAGGGGCCGGCTCTACTTGATGGGTGGGATCAATCCTGAATTAAGTTTCTGTTGCATTTATTTGACAAAAACGAAGTGTATAAATAATACAAAACAAAAGTCCTTGTGGGGTTTCTAGTGGCAGTTGAAATAATCCCACATGTGATCATCAGAAAATAAACCATTCCTTATACCAATATGGCACAAGCTCCGTGACTTGAAAGGGGTAGGAGTGCCTCCTGCTGTGTATTTTAGAATCCCTGCCCCGCCTTGTTTCATGGCAGTGAAATGCCTCTTGATCATGTCCAAGTGTGTCTTTTCACTGCCTGTTTTCTGAATCATGTTTTAGTTACTTGGCCCTGCCACATGGGCCCAGTACTCATTTTGAGCATAACTGTACTAAATTTTTTTTCCAAATCAGTATAAGAAAGGAATGATATGCAAGAAAAAAGGAAAAAAAAAAAAAAAAAAAAAAAAAGAAGGTGAGGTTGGAAAGGAGAATTGTATCTAAACTCATAATTTTCACCCTTTAGGTTACATCACAATTGCCCATTGGGCTTGTTAAAGCACAGGTTGCTGGGCCTCACTGTCTGATTCTGGGGATATGGAGTGGGCTCTCCTAACATTTCTGAGCTGCCGCTGCTGCTGATTTGAAAACCACACTTTGAGAACCACCATGGTAGAGTGGAGACCTCAGGGAAGCTCCAGTGCTGTGCCAAAGAGTTTGAGCTTCACTCAAGAGCAGCAGGGACACATTCAGAACTTGGTGAAGAGGACGGTGATAAGCTTCTATGTATTAGGAATATGCCAGTGGACAAGAGGAAGATTAGTTGGAGCTAACCCTGTCATCTAGGTCAACTTAAATATGCTCATTGGCTTCTGTACTAAAAAGCTGAGAAGTGTACAGTGCTGTTTAATGATATCTCCAATAAAAGACATTTTATGCTGGGAGAAATCTGCCTATCAAAAGGAACTCATTCATCAAGGCTATGAAATACCTGAGGTCTCACTTTCATATTGCTTACCATGCTTACCTAGTGAAATTAAGAAAAATGTATTCTACGTGGTCTCTCTCTGATGCCCAAGTTTTCTTCTTTGAGTCAGCATCCCTTGAGAGGCTTAAATGTTGACCAGTGACATAGCTGGCTGGCTGTAGGGTGACCTGGATGTGTATAAATATTTCACTAAGACAGATTAATAGAAAACATCAACTTTGTTTTCAATGTAACTTTTATTGATGTCACTCTTCTTTAGTGAATTGTAGTGAAGTGCTCAGATTACATATATTAATAATTGTGAAATTGCAAAAAGTAGAAAAATGTACAAAGAGATATAGTAAGTCTAACTTTTCATTCTCTCGCATGTTATACACACAATCTTCCCCATGGTGAATAAAAATTAATACTAGATATATACTAAAGACTGTAGATTCAGTCTTTTTTTTTTTTTCTTTTTCTTTTTTTTTCTTTTTTTTTTTTTGAGACACAGCCTCACTCTGTCCTCCAGGCTGGAGTGCAGTGGCACCATGTCGGCTCACTGCAACCTCTGCCTCCAGGATTCAAGTGATTCTCCCACCTCAGCCTCCCAAGTAGCAGGGAACTACAGGCACATGCCATCATGCCTGGCTAATTTTTGTATTTTTGGTAGAGATAGTGTTTCACCATGTTGGTCAGGCTGGTCTCAAACTCCTGACCTCAGGTGATCTGCCCACCTTTGCCTCCCAAAATGCTGGGATTATAGGCGTGAGCCACCACACCCAGCCAGATTCAGTCTTTACTATAAAATAAATTATGAGCATGATATGGGAAAGGAACAAAAGAGCTTAGAAAGATGAACTCCAAAACATTAAACTGCTGATATTAATCTTAAAATCCATAATGCAGATCAGGTATCAGCAAACTACAACCCCTGGGCCAAATCTGGCCACTGCCTGTCTTCACATAGCCCATGAGCTGAGAACGTCTTATACAGATGAATGTTTGCACTCTGTTTGATGATAGACAACACTGACTTTGAAACAACAGTTAAGCAAAATATCCCCTCCAGAAAGAATTTGCCTCTTTTCATTATTAGACCTGTATTACGACAAAGTGGCCTCAATTATTACTATTGATTTTTGATAATAAACATTTGTGGAAATGTTCGTCTCTTTAATCTAAGTACCCACATAATATTCTTGATTTTGCCTCTTGGCCCACAAAACCTAAAATCTTTAGTATCTGGCCAGTTACAGAAAGAGTTGACCACCCCTGATGTAGACTGGGTTATATTTTCACTTCTCTGTGTGGTTTCCCCTGTTGCTAAGGAAATGCTGAACTGTGTTCCACAAATTTGAATACTCGTACCTAGCCTGTTTTTTAAGTTTGTATTGACTGTGTGGTGCTTGGGTTGTGTTGGGATCACAGTGTTAGCTTATATTATTATTACTTATTTATATTTATTTTTACTTCATGTTACTAGCAGGAGAATCATTTAAGCAATAGGAGTGTTATTATTCTGAAAAAGTGCTGTACAAAGCAGTACGATGCTTTTTCATTGTGTTTGGGAGTTTTGCAAAAGACAGCATCAAATAAAAGAAAATCATGCCTTTCAGGTTCTTCTTTCTAGGTAAGACAACTTGGCCCCTGAAGCATGAATGAATAGAGTTTATTAGCCCCAAATGGCAGCAGTGGATTTTGAGACAACATTGTCATTTAATTCTTATGAGCAGAACTTCTTTGGTCCCCGCAGGCCTCAGGGGAGCAATGGCATTTGCGTTGGCCATCCGTGACACGGCATCCTATGCTCGCCAGATGATGTTCACGACCACCCTTCTCATCGTGTTCTTCACCGTCTGGATCATTGGAGGAGGCACAACACCCATGTTGTCATGGCTTAACATCAGGTTGGTTTGGAACCAAGGCTAATTGAGTATGTCAGTTGTCACTGTTCCAGAGAATGTTCAACACCCTGTGCAGGATGTGCTGCTTTAGTTCATGGAAGCCTTTTACAGTCTTTGGTTTTGTTTGTGAGGAGGGATTAACAATTTTTTTTAAAACAATAAGTAAAAGTTTGGAGTATGGGGTTTTCCAGGAGAAAAAAAAATGTCATTAAAAATTTTTGTCAGTGCAAACATACAAAGAATGAGAAGTGCCTGGATCTTGCTAGAACAGTGACATTAGAGCAAAAATTTAAAAAGTCTTAAAGCTGCAGGACAGAAAATAGACCAAGGGCCCCTGGCAGAGTCCAGTATTTCATGTTCCTTTGAAATGAAATCCAGACTCTGAAGAATAAGCTCACCAGCCAGATATAGAGGCAATTAGAGTTTTATTTTAGCATGAAGCTGTATGCTGTCTCTTCTTGCTTGAGTGTACAAAAGAGGTGACATTTTCTGGGTAACCCTCACCTGTTGCAGTTTCATGGACGTCCTCTGCCTGTGGCTTTGTAGCTGTGGCAGGACAGAAGGAGCACTGATACAAGTTTGACTTTTTCAAGAGCGCTTGAATTCCAAATTGTGTTTGTGAGCTCCAGCATCTTATGGTAAAGAAGTCATTGGAAATAGGGTTCAAGAGACCCACAGCCCAACTCTGGCTTGAATTAAAGACAAGCCTCTCATGTGTTTGGGCCTCAGGTTTCCTCAGCGTTAAGTGAAGACGCTCTGCCGGGTGATCTCGAGGGCACTTCAGCTCTAAGTGTTGTGCTGCACATCACTGGATGTGCTCTGGCCACTTACCACAATTTCAGGTCTGCACAGGGTGACCGTGTTCCGGAGCAAGAAGACACTTGGGTAGTACAAAGGTGTGAAGAAAACTTCTTTGAAAAGCCACACGGTGGCAATGGTTTTTCTTTCTCTGCTGGCTTTTTTAGTTTGTATTCTCTAGACTGTAGAATGCCCGAGACAGCTGCACCGCATACATACCTTGGAGGAGAGAAAATGAACAGAGATCTCCCAGTCATCCTTGGAGTTGGGGGGAAGAAACTAAAATTTGAGAGAATCATCTCCTGTATCTGGAGTTTTCGTATAGATGTTAGGCAGAGATTCCTGGGCTGCCACTTCTGCCACCAGCCACTGCCACTTCCACTGCCAGCTTCACCATTTCTGGGCTAGTGTATCCCTGCCTGAGATCCAGGTGGGTCTGCAGAACCAATATGGGGTTTATCAGTGTTAGTCATAATAATAAGTAACACTTATGTTTCAGGCATTGTTCCAGATACCATGCATATATGAAGATAATTCTCATAACGTTCTTACAAGGAAGATAGGACTATTATCTCAATTTTAGAGTTGGGGAAACTGGGGCACAAAGCAGGAATTTGCCCAAGGTCACAGAGCTTTAAGTGGACAAGCTAGGATTTGAACCTAGGCGCTCATACCAGAGAGTCCACACTCTTAACCACTGTGCTATACTGCCTGTGAAGAAGAGTTATAAAATTTGGGAAGGTTAGAATTTCAATTACCTGGCATGAATCTCAAGGGTTGGATTAAGGAAAAGAATCCATCTTTGAGAATATAAACCTGAAGAAAATTTACAGTCTCTTACTTTTAAACTTAAGACATAAGATGGTACCATCTTTGTTCTATGTAGCAGAATTAGGGCAAGAAAAAAGGTTTACCCTGCGCACAGTTGAGAATCTTTGCATTTGGTGACCTCTGAGATTACTTCCTGCTCCTGTTTGTCTGATCACCTAGTAGATGCTCTGGATGCTCAGAGCCTCATTAAATCATGTTTGTTTTTCATGCTATTTTATAAATCCTTTTCTCCCCTTCCCCTCAAACATATACGGGACCAAATTTTCCGTTGAGAGTAGAGAGTTGACTTTTGACATTTTGCTCTTGTAACTGCCTTGGAGATCCATGTAGGTTGTTCATGTATCAAGTTTGTTCTGTTTTATTGCAGAGTAGTATTCCAAGGTGGGCCTGCCACATTCCTCCTCTGGTCCCTGCTGCCTAATTAGTGGCTCCAGCCAAACTCTGGATGCACCAGAGTTTGTTTAACCATTTACCCCTCGAAGGACATTTGGATAGTTTCAAGTTTTGGGCTATTAAAAATAAAGCCACTGTGAATATTCTTCTGTAGGTTTTTGCATGGGCATAAGTTTTCACCTCTCCAAGATAGATGCCCAGGAGTGTGCCTTCTGGGTTGGATAGTAAAGATGTGTTTAGTTTTATAAGAAACTGCCAACTGTTTTCCAGAGTGGCTGTACCATTGTACATTCTCACCAGCAGTGTATGAGGGATCCAGTTTCTCAGCATCCTCCCCAGCGTTTGGTATTGTCAGTGTTTTTCATTTCAGTTGTCCCAGTAGGTATGTGGGAATATCTCATTGTGGTCTTAATTTACATTTCTCTCATAGATAATGATATTAAACATCACTTCATGTGTTTATTTACCATTCATATGTCTTTGGTGAAGTATCTGTTCAAGTCTTTTGTCCATTTTTAAATTGGATTGTTTCTTTGTTGAGTTTTTAGAGTTCGTTATTCTAGACTGTAGTCTTTTGTCAGATACATGGTTTGCAAATACTTTTTCCCAGTGTGTAGCTTGTCTTTTTTTTTTGAGACGGAGTCTCACTGTGTCTCCCAGGCTGGAGTGCAGTGGCACCATCCCGGCTCACTGCAAGCTCCGCCTCCCGGGTTCACACCATTCTCCTGCCTCAGCCTCCTAAGTAGCTGAGACTACAGGCGCCCGCCACCACGCCTGGCTAATTTTTTGTATTTTTAGTAGAGACGGGGTTTCACCGTGTTAGCCAGGATGGTCTCAATCTCCTGACCTCGTGATCCACCCACCTCGGCCTCCCAAAGTGCTGGGATTACAGGAGTGAGCCACCGTGCCTGGCATTTGTCTTTTGATCATTTTAATAGGGTCGTTCATAGAGCAGAAGTTTTAATTTATAATTTATCAATTTTTTTTCTTTTATGGGTCATGCATTTGGTATCATGTCTAAGGACTCTACCAAGCCTTAGGCCTGAAGATTTCTTCTGTGTTATCTTCTAAAAGCTTTTTAGTTTTACACTATACATTTAAGTCTGTGATCCATTTTGAGTTAATTTTTGTATAAGATGTGAGGTTTAGGTTGAGGGGTTTTTTTTTTGCCAATGGCTATCTAGTTGTTCTAACGTAATATGTTGAAAAGACTATCCTTACTCCATTGAATTAATTTTGCTTCTTTGTCAAAAATCAGTTGTCTGTATGCATGGGGTTGTCTTTCTGCACTGCTCTATTGGTTTATGTGTCTATCCTTCCAAGACCATACTGTCTTGATGACTATAGTTATACAGTGAACCTTAGTATCAGTTAGAGTGATTCCTCCCACTTTATTGTTGTGGCTATTCTACTTCCTTTCCACATAAATTTTAGAACACATTTGTCTACATGTAAAAAAAAATCTTGCTGGGTCTTTCATAGGAATTATGTTAAACCTTTACATTAATTTTTGGGGAGATTGACATCTTTATTTTGTCGAGTCTTCCAATCCATGAACATGATGTATTTCTCCATTTATTTACATCTTCTTTGATTTCTTTCATTCGACTTTTGCAGTTTTCAGCACCCATGGCCTGTACATGTTTTGTTAGAACTTGTATCCTGTCACCTTACTGCTGAACTCACTTATTCGTTCTTTAGCTCTGAAAGTGTTTTGGTCTTTTTTTTTTTTTTTTTTTTTTGGTAGATTCTTTGGAATTTTCTGCATAGACCATATAGACCATCATGTTATTTGTAAATAGCGACAGTTTTTTTTTTTTCTTCCTTTTCAACCAGGGTACCTTTTGTTTCCTTTTCTTGCCTTATTGCTCTGGTTAGGATTTTCACTACTGTGTAGAATAAGAGTGGTATAAATGGACATCCTCATCTTTTTCTGATCTTAAGAGGAAAGCATTTGCCGGGTAAGGTGGCTCACACCTGTAATCCCAGCACTTTGGGAGGCCGAGGCAGGTGGATCACAAGGTCAGGAGTTCGAGACCAGCCTGACCAACATGGTGAAACCCCATCTCTACTAAAAATACAAAAAATTAGCTGGGCATGGTGGCAGGCGCCTGTAGTCCCAGCTACTCGGGAGGCTGAGGCGAGAGAATGGCGTGAACCGGGGAGGCAGAACTTGCAGTGAGCTGAGATCACACGCCACTGCACTCCAACCTGGGCGACAGAGCGAGACTCCATCTCAAAAAAAAAAAAAAAAAAAAAGAGGAAAGCATTCAGTCTTTCTTTATTAACTATACTGTTAGCTACAGGGTTTTTGTAGATGTTCATCTTCAAGTTGAGGAAGTTCCTATCTATTGCTAGTTTTATGAGAGGGTTTTTTTTTGTTGTTTTTTTTTTCATGAACAGGTGTTGAATTTTATCAAATATTTTTTCTGTATCAATTGATATGATCATATGATTTTTCTTGTTTAACCTATTAATATGACGAATTACATTAATTACTTTTCAAATATTGAACCAACTTTGTTTCTCTGAAATAAACCCCACTTGATGTGGTACATTATTCTTTTACATATTGCTGAATTATATGAGCAAACATTTTGTTAAGGATTTTTATGTCTGTATTCATAAGGGATATTGGTCAGTAGTTCTTTATTTTTTATACTGCTTTTGTCTGGTTTTGGTATCAGAGTAATCTGGCCTCACAAAATGAGTTGGACATGTTCCTTACTCTTTTGTTTTCTGGAAGAGATTGTGTAGAATTGGTGTTATTTTCCTTAAACTTTCAGTACAATTCTCCAGTGAAACCATCTGGGCCTGGAGACTTCTTTTTTGGGAGTTTTTCAATTATGGAGCCAATTTCTTTATTAGTTATAGGGCTTTTCAGATGACCTATTTCATATTGGGTAAGTTGTGGTGATTTGTGAAATTGGTCAGTTTCATTTAAGTTGTCAAGTTTATGTCGTTTGTAGCATTCCCTTGTTATCCTTTTGATGTCTGTGGGGTCTACAGTGATATCCCATTTTTGATATATCTTCTCTGTTTTTGGTCAATTTTGCTAGACATTTGCCAATTTTATTGATCTTTTCCAAAGAACCAGCTATTTATTTCATTGATTTTCTGTATTGTTTTTCTAATTCCATTTTAATTGATTTCTGTTTCTATCTTTATCATTTCCTTCCTTCTGTCTGACTCTATCTAGAGACAGCACAATGAAGGAAAGTATGCCATTACTGAAAAATACATATTGTGTCAGCTCATTGCATTTTTCCAGATGTGTATAAAGAATGATTACATAAGTGTAGAAACTGACATTTACAGAGATTACATCAAAAGAAATTCCCTCTGAAATAGGGTAATAAAACAGATTAATTTTTCTAGCTTGTGGCTTGTGGTGTGATGGCCATGAATCATTTCTGTAACTAAGGTTCTTATTCTAAATTGATTCAGAAACCCCCTGAAGTTCAATTTGGTATTTTGACCCCGTGACCTCGATATGATCAGTACCTACTTATTCCTTACTTCTCCAGGCTACTGATAGAGGCCCTGATGAACTGTTAAGTAGCTGCTCAGAAGTCAGAAGCCCAGGGTGGTTCTTGGAGTTCACCATAAATAGGAGTTAGCTGTGTTTCTTACTATGGCTAATTTCAAGTCTGTGTATAAAATAAAAATGAATATAACTGTACATCCAAAGCCAGGTCACTGCTTTCCATAAATCCAATTTATCTTTTTAAATTGGTGTTTTGTGATTGGTATTTTAAAACATAATGGTAAAATGTGTAAATTGCTTTCTGTTAAAACAAAATATTTTTCTTAGTCTCTTAAGAGTTGTTATTGACAAAGGATGTAATTTTAGCAACTTAAAAAATGATCGTGGGATTATTTTGGCTGATGAGCCTTGTGTGTGTCCTGACCACATTGCGACAGCATGGTGGCGGTCTTCTAGGAGTCCTCAGCTTCAAGTAACACACACAAAACGGTGGAGATAGTGGGTCGGGGTGGGGTGGGGTGGGGGCGGTGGAACGACATACACCCAGGTGGCCAAATGAACTGTAACCTTCACATCCCAGAGTGCAGTAATATAATCATTCAAAGACAAGTAAGAATGCTCTACTTGGCATAATCCTGTTAGACTGAGAATTTGTAATAAAGCTCTTTGCAAGATAACATAAGGAATAAAGGCAGGGAGAAGCCCTGAGCTCTTCATGTAATAGCATTTGCAACTGGATATTTTAAAAGACCTTAAAGATACCACCTTGTAATCAAAGGCAATATCCTATAAGAGGAAGAGCTGAGGCTCTGGAGTCTAGCAGCCTGAGTTGGAATCTTGGCTCTACCATTTCTACCTTTGTGACCTTGGGCAACTTATTTCACCTGTATCCCTCAGTTTCCTCACTGATTAAATAGGGACAGTCATAGCATGAGGATAAAATGTGGTAATAAATAATGCAATGAAGAATTCTCTCATCAATGTACCATCTGACACATAAGCACTTAGTATATTTTAGCTGTTATTGTATTAATAGTATTAATCATAGCATTACAGCTGCTACTATTATTAATACTATTACTCAAGAGACAATGAATCTTACATTAAGGAATCTGGCTTGTTTTTCTGGTGTTTGCTATAATTTTTCAATGTTGTAGTAATAGAGTCTGATTTAAGTCACATTCTGAACATGTAACTAAAAGTACCACCTTAAGAAGCATCGTGTCCTCACTTGCATATGTCAGGGGATATTAGTAATATGAGAATTTGGGCATTGTCTAGCGAAGTAGTTCTCAATCTTTTTTTCATTATTGTCACCGCTGAGGAGCCTTTAAAAACTTTTTCCTCAATTACCTCCCCCAGTGAAATTTTAGTATCACAGATCTGCTATGCCTCTCTGTCTGTGCTGTGGCACTTTGGAGGGCTACAAACCATTATAATATCTAAGTATTTTCTTTTACCTACAAGAACCAATTTTTACACCCAGGAGGGTGATACTGCCTCCATTGAGAATATGTGGTTTAATGCAGTGATTCTCAACTGACGGCAATTTTGTCCCCCAGGGGACATTTATTTGGCAGTATCTGGAGATGTTTTTAGTTGGCCACAACAAGAGGAAGGGGTCAAAACCTCAGCTTCTTGGTGAGTGGGGTTGCTACTAGTATCTTGTGGGTGAAAGCTGGAGACTCTGTTAAACATCTTACAGTGCACCGTACGGGTCACCACAACAGAGAATTATCTGACCTGAAATGTCAATGCTGCTGAGTTTACGAAACCCTGCTCCAACATGATAGTAAGATTCAGATGCACTCTGAGTAACCCAGAAATTATTAAGGAAGGTGAAGGTGGACCATGTCAACTCAAAAGGCTACAAGCTAAAGAGAATAGCAGAAGTGAGGTTCCCGACTTTCAGGTTGATCCTGTGTACAACATGGTGTGCTTGTCTGAAAAAAAAGACCATCTTTGTCTTCTTAAGTATTGTTGCTGTTTTTCAATAATATCATGCTTTTTGTTCTTTCTGTCAAATATGTGTAAAAATATATGTAAACACTTTAAATATGTGTAACATTTAAGCAACAATTTCTTTTTTTCTATTTTTGGTATCTTGCTTTATAAACAGATGAATTTCCGAAAAAAATATGTAAATTTGTTTTCTATGACGTAGATTTCATCCTCTGATTTTATTACATTATATATTGAGAGGCTCATCCTCATTCCTGATCAATCCTCATTTGATCTGGCTCCTGATATTGCTGCTTTAAATTTAAATTTAGTGGCCTCTCAGCCTCTCTGGGTTTTAGAGGATGGGGACAGTTTAAGAGAGGATATGGATTTATATTGAAAGTGAGAAATATTCTCTTATGGACATGGTCCAGATCATTTGCCCAGAGCTCCTGGCTCTCCTGTTGTCCCTGTCACACTCACATTCCCTTCTTCTGCTGCCCAGAGTTGGCGCTGAGGAGCCCTCCGAAGAGGACCAGAATGAACACCACTGGCAGTACTTCAGGTGACACAAGGGCATCCTCAGAAAAAATTAACCAGGCCTGGCTTTTCTCCTCTTTCTAACCTCAGATACTTCTCTTTACACTGTTTTTCTCTTCCTTCCTGCGTGTGCCAACCCCCACCCCTTTTAGTAAAGGTGCAAAAGGTTGAGTCAATTCTAATCATTTTTTCCACCCCTCCTCTGGGTTGATTGATGTGTCAGTGTTCTTGGGATTCTGTCTGCTTTCCCCACATTTAGGCAGTGTATTGCCAACACAAAGCCTGAGTTGTCAAGTGTTTCCTTTTTGTACAACTGAGCTTAGTGTTAAGAGCAGCTCATTTTCAGAGCCACACTTTCCCCACTAAATCCTGCTTATGATCTAGTAAATAAGGCTCTTAATTCATAAAGAGAACTAGAATTTTCATATTTCAGCCATGACTGGGGTAAGGCTTACACCATCTTAATTAAATATCACTGCTGTTTTAGTTTTTCAGAATACATATTTGTGTACTTGTGCCTTGTCGTGGTGAACCAGAAGGTATGAATAATGTTTAATCAAAAAGATAAAGAGTCCTCTAATGCAGTTTGTTTCTTAGTATCCTTCCAAGTTTATGATATAACTATGCTTAAGGGTGGTGGTGTCTGGGCAAGCAAAGTACAAACTTTAATGTTTCTTCTTTCCTTTCTGTTTCTCTAATTGGCATGTTTTCTTCCTGATTCTCGGTGCTGATAGATAAATCAAATGCAAAATAGGCTTCAGCTCTGTTCTCAGCACTGTGAGAATATTTCACTTCCTTGAGGGCAGTGGTGAAAGCAGTGGGACATGGGTCTTGGGATATCACCAGGCCCCATATGTGCACTGTAATGACTCACATGAAATTACTTAAGTATTTAAGCTTACTGAAGTCAGACTTTTTTCTACACACACACGTTCATTTGTAGAGACTGACTTTGATACCAGCTAAATTGCAGAGGAAACCCTTTCCTTTGAAGCATGCCTTTAAGAAGGAAAGTCCTTCAGGCAAAGTGTAAGTTATTAGACTTGGGACATGAGCAAATTCAGGTTATGATATGGTGGTCAAGTTACATGAAGATGTGTGTCTCATATTCCTCAAATTATTCAAAACCTTGACCATTCAGGGATTTTTTTTTTTTTAGAAAAAATTATTAATTAAAATAGAATACTTCTAAACTTTCCAAGATTTTATGGCGTTTTTTTCTGTTAATCAGAATGGACAAATTATACCAGTAGAGAAATTATCAATTTTGGGTATTTATTCATTCCAGAATGAGCACATCAGTTTGCTTGCTTTATTTTTTCATTTAGTGTGGGATGTCCACATTTGTCTACTTCCTAATGAAAATAAAGATAATTCTGCCCAAGGTTGTCATTTGTGTTCTTATGAACTTAGCCCTGATATATCAGGGGAATGCTAAAATAAGATCTAATAAAACAGCATAAAAAAAGTTCCGGTGTCCTGAATCAAAAGCATTATACCAGATCAGGAAAGAGATACATAAAGTGGACAGTGACCTGACACTAGGAATTTCAGAAAGTTGGGGGACCCTAAAGTCTTCTGAGGCTTTAAACCTGCAATTAAAATCCTGTGCCTGGGCCAGGCGTGGTGGCTCACGCCTGTAATCCCAGCACTTCGGGAGGCCAAGGTGGGCAGATCACCTGAAGTCAGGAGTTCGAGACCAGCCTGGCCAACATGGTGAAACACCGTCTCTACTGAAAATACAAAAATTAGCCAGGCGTGGTGGCATATGCCTATAGTCCCAGCTGCTCGGGAGGCTGAGGCAGGAGAATGGCTTGAATCCAGGAGACAGAGGTTGCAGTGAGCCAAGATCGCACCACTGCACTCTAGCCTGGGTGACAGAGCGAGACTCCGTCTCAAAAAAATTCTCAAAAACAAAACAAAAAAAATCCTGTGCCTGTTCTTTCTTGCTGCCCGGTTCCACACCAAAACACCCTGGCCCATTCGTTTACCTCCTCTTCCCAGAGACCGGTTTGGTTCTGGGCTCTGCCCCAAGGGTGGGGCTCTTTGTAGGAAGCCACAAGGTCCCGTGTCATCCTTGGGGATTGGTCCAAGAGGCCTCAACCCTGCCAGAAAAGTAATTACTAAATCGCCCTGAAGTAAACAGCCTTGAAAAGGCAAAAAAAGTGCAGAATATTATTTGTGTCTCACGGCCCCGATCTGTTTTGTTTTTTTTTTTTTTTTAGCAGTAGCAAGCTGAGAAGCAGCTCTTTGTTTCCTTTCTTAGAAATCTCCTGTTCTGCACTTATATCAGTAGCAAGACCTTGCAAGAGACTCCAAGGGCCTTCCCACACTCCTCTGTCTGTGGCAGGGCCCAGAAGGTCCTTTTAGGTTCTCTGCTGTCAGGAGTTTGGGCTGCATTTCAGACTTGGTTGATATCAAGTGGCTGCAGTGAAGATTGGAAATTCCATGGCAGATGTAGGGTTTTCCTGGCATCTTTTTTCTCTGCCCCATTGCCGAGTGTTATCCATGTCATCCATGGCACAGTTTCCTGCCTCAGAATGAGGAAGGTGCAAGGATAAAAAAAAAAAAAAATTACCAGATGCATAGAGTGCCAGTTAGTATGTTACTAAGCCAAGACAACTGCCCTGGTGCTTTTATAGTTTTTGTTACAAATCAGTCTTGCCATTTTGCTTTTTGTTTCTATCTTTAGTTGTTGCTCTCAAATGTGTGAGTTCTCGAGGCTATCTTGATGCAAGAGGGTATAGGGGCACCAGGATTGAAAGCAGGTCAGGACTCTAGTTAATGATACTGTTAAAGAAAATATTATTCTGATGTATATTAAAACAGTAAGGCAGATGTTGTTCAGGACCATCACGATTGGTATAGGGACCACTGTGATGGGATTTTGCAGCAGGGGAGAGGAACAGGGGCCAGTGGATGGAGAAGTACTGAGAGGAAACATCAGGGGCAAGGGGGATTCTGGCTAAACTGACCCAACAGGATTCTTGCTGAAGACAGGCGAAGGGGATTAGACATCACCTGGGGGATTGTGGGTAAATGAAGAACCCAATCAGATGTTGGGGTTAGGCCATTCAGATGTTGGGCTCTGGCCAAACCAACTTAGACAATCAGACATCACCTGAGGGATTGTGGGGGGATGAAGAACCCAATCAGATGTTGGGTTCTGGCCAAACCAACTTAGCAAGCCTCTTGCTAAAATTGGGTTATGCTGAGATGGACATGGAAGCCCAAAAGTCAGTGCCTAGTTGGGAAGTGAATTCCTAGGAGCCTGACGAAAGTTTGGTCAAGGAGGGACACTTTGTCAATAATGCATGTGAAGTATTTAGGGGAAGTATTCTGATATCTGCAACTTTATCTGAATGCATCCAAAGAAAAAGTAAGATGGGTGATAGAGAAATGGATAGATAGGTAATAAGGAATATACAATAAAATGTTGATGATAGAATCTAGTGATGGTGGGTATATAGGGGTTCATGCTAAAGTCTTTCAACATCTCCCTGTATATTTGAAAAAGTTGATAACAAAATGTTAGGGAAATTAAAGCAGACCAGGGCAGAAGTGAGGAAGCAGCACAGAGGAAGGGCCCAGTGCAGTGAGACCCACATTTTGATAACTGGGACCACCTGGTGCAGAAAAGCAAGTGGACAGTTGCCAGCATGTGTTGTGTTCCGGAGGCCTTGCTTAGAGTGGAAGCACATGGGATTCATTGCCCCTCTGACTCTCTGGGATCTGAAGTGGTATGCGACCTCTTTCTCATGACTTCTGCATGCTAGCCTTCCTCACCTTTTAGCTAACCACTCCTTATGCTTCGGGAAGATGGTCAGCCTCCGGGTTACTTGCAGCCTGCATGGCTACCATGGGCCAAGCTAATACTCTCTGTTTTTCTCTTTGTCTTCCTCCTTGGTGACTTTCAGAGTTGGTGTTGACCCCGATCAAGACCCACCACCCAACAATGACAGCTTTCAAGTCTTACAAGGGGTAAGTCACAAGAGATGCTTCTTCCCGGGGAAGACATTGGAGCATTTGCCACATGCCAGGCACTTTACCTAGATTCCCGCATTGTGATCCTGACAACAGCCTTATGAAGTATGTACTGCTCTCCCCATTTTGCAGATTAAAAGCTGAAGTTTGGGAGTTTGAGTCATCTCAGAGTAAGTGATGGAGCCAGGATTTGTCCCCAGGGTATGTGTTCTCAAATAACGTTATGAAAGGTGTGAGCTCGCCAGAAAGAGTCCTGACTCCTCACTTTTCAATAGTGGATATTGGTTCTACAACTGGTTCTGAGTCTATCAGTGGTGCCCAGGAGAAAGAGAGCAATACGATTTGACTCTCCAGCCCAGGGATCTGAGGAAGAAAGGAGAGACATCAGGTGCCTGAAGGCATTCCTGTTCCTCCAGGGCCTGGGATCCTCTAGGTGAGGAATTTGGAAAGGGCATAGTAGGGACGGCTTGCCTTTGCTCCATGAAGTCCAGGGTCTCAGGTGGGAAAACCAGGAGCTTGGGGCTGGAATCATGCAAAGGTTCATTTACTCATATGTCTGGCACCTGGGCTGGAAGGACCCAACCACAAGGACCTCTGACAGGAATGTCTGTGCAGGGCTTTTCCATGTGGCCTGAGCTGCCTGCCAGCATGGTGGCTGCTGGGTAGTTGGATTTCTTATATCATGGCTCAGGGTTCCAAAAGCAAGTGTCCCAGTAAGCAAAGTAGAGGCTATATCACCTTTTCTGAACGAATCTTAGAAGTTCTACAGCATCACTTCCATGGCTTTCTATTGCTTAGAAATGCATTCCTAAGACCAGCCCAGATCCAATGGGAGGGGATAGAGACCATAACCTCTGGATGGGAAGAGTATCAACAAATTTGCAGACAAGATTTGAGGTTGCCGTATCATCCCTGTTGTGCAGCTGTTGGGATGATTTTGTCTCTAGGTTTGGCTCTTTACCCAGGTCAGCATGACCTGGGCAGGCAAGGTGGGGAAAGGAGAGTTATGATAGGGGCAGAAATGTGTTACCAATATATTAGTTGACCTTGGGAGTCAATAACTATGTCATTCAGCATTGAATGCCCAGTGCTGAGCACAGTGGCTGGCACATACGGGAACCAGATAGGTGTTTGTTGGGTGGATGAGGGAATGAGAGGTGCAATGTGCAACAGGCAGCTTTACTGACCACATGTGTATGTTGTCCATGAAACCCTATTCTTTTTTTTCCAGTTGGTTTTGAATCTGACTCATCATTGCACTTAATCCTAAATCCAGTCTGCAGCAGACTTCAGATTCCATAGGATCTTCTAAATGATTCCATCTACCAAATCAGATTTAATAAGGCTGGCAAAATGTGGTGCTGTGTGGAGGTCAATGGGGTGCCACTGTAGCCTTTTGTGGTTTCTTTCTCTTTAAGGGTGGCCACAGCCTGATAAGGCATTTATAGCATTGATGTCCATTCTAGGTCCCTGCTCAAGGGACACAAAGCCATGACCTGGAAAGTTCTGGACACTTTGGGAAGAGTTTTCAATAAGCTTCATTGGAGATTTGGCGCCCACTTTAATGAGCTCCAGAAGACCTTTGAGATGATCTTAGAATTGGCCATTATGTCAGTTGGGAACATGTGGTCTCAATGAGCAGTTCTCTGAAAATTTGCTGTTTGACTCTAGCTTTGATTAAGGACTTTAGAAAACAGGAGTTCAGGAACTGAGCACCTTGAAGCTAATTTAGAGTATAACAGTTTGGGAGATCTTGAAACGCATCCTGAGAAAAACCCAGGGGAAAACATGATGGCCGTTCTTATTTCACCAAAGGGAAGATAACGGCTCTGGTAGGACATGGCTGCCCTATTCTAAAGCATCCTCCACAGAACTGTGGCCAGTCTACATTAATTTTGTAAGAAAAAAAGGCCAATAGCAGCTGGATCGTAAGATTTGGAGAGGTTTCATCTTGCTCCGGACCATTCAAAACATCCCCACCCGCTTTGCTGTTTCCCATTGCTCCTACCTCTGCATTCAAGCATCTGTAACAGGAAACAAGTGAAAGGATTTGGCTGGTCATGTAGTAGAACTTACTATGTATCACATAAGCCCCGCACATTGGGAACACTGGGCTTGTAATTAGATTCAGTAACAAGCTTACTGTCACTTTTCTGTGGAAATGTTTGAATGAGAAAGCAGCAGGTCCAAAGTGCTGAGGGTTCTTGTATTTAGTCCATGCAGTGACAGCTAAAATAGCCCCTGCCCCTAGGTGGAGTGAGTCTCAGGAACCTCCCTGGATGGGCCTGGATGGATGAACTCAGTGTTCCTGTCAGCTCCCAGAGGGCCCCTTGGGCTGAGAGCACTGCACATGTGGTGTTGTCAACGAGCTGGCAGCCACTCATGCTGCACGCCTAATGGCACCCTGTTTGCCACAGCCCTAGCCAGAAGCTGTGTCACAGCTTCCCCGGACCTCCTTCCTTCCAAACCTCACACACGGTCATGCAGAGGGCCCCTCAAAGTCAGTTCCACTGACCTTTTGAAAGGTTTTCAAGATTGTTGTCATATGGGGAAAAACATGCAAACTTCAGGCTTGGTTCTCCAGGACACCCTCTTAGAAATGACTCACGCCCTTGTGCAGAGAGGACCTTATTTCTCCAGTTCCTCCTGGTCTGACCTCCTCATTCTAGTGAGCCACTAACAGCAGGGTTCGGTGCACTCTGTGGTCATGAGAAACAGGAAAACAGAAATAAATGGGCTTCTCATTTTTGGGTGAAACCCTGGGTTCTTGCAGTTTCCCCTGAAATAGATCCAGGTCACATGCTCAGTGTTGTCATGAAACTGAACTCAGAGGTAGGGAAAGTCCAGATGTTTGTTCTCTACCAGAGAAAAAAAGGGCAGTTCTCTTTACCTCATTTTCTAAATAATCGTCCTAAAAACAACAAACAAAAAAGTGACATTTGACGGGAAGGCATGTCTTATAATGAGCACAATTCTCCTCGCTGGTCTTGAAGCCCAAGGCTATAAACAGAGTCATGGCTAGGGAGCTACAGAATATTAGCTCATGTGGGAAAAGGAAGGGAGCTGTTGGCTAGAACTTTGCTTCATGTGGGGAAAGCATAAAAATATTGTGGGCAGACTTCAGCTTTGTGTCCCTGGCAAGTTTGACTCATTAGAACAAAACAAGACCAAAAAAACTCAGTTGCTTTGTTTCTCTGGAGGTCTTGGTGACTTTGCAACCAAAACAAAAACAACCCCAGCTGGAGGCAAGCTGCCCAGCCCTGGGGGTGGCCTCCCACCCCATTAAACAGGAGGACTTTTCACGCCAGACCAGACAGCTGAGATTTCTGTTGGCGGCACATGCAGACACATCATTCACTTCCTTCCCTGAGTTTACAGAAGAGCACTCATTGATGAGGCCACTTTGGAGCAGCTGAGAGTGTGAATCTGAATTTATCCCAGTTTTACCATATCAACAGGACAAGGTCACAAGCCAGATATTAATGGAGTGTGGAGGAAGGGAAACCACCAGTGCCTGTGTATATGTACACATATGTGTGTGTGTCTGTGTGTATGTAGTGAAAACTGTAGAAAATCAGCAGTTTATAGTTGCGTTCATATATGACTTTCTGAGCAAGTTAGAATCATTTGTTTCTGGGTTCTCCTCGTTTTTTTGTTTTTGTTTTTGTTTTTGTTTTTGTTTCTCCAGGCTGAAATCTGACACCCGTAAATCTGTCACCTAAACCTTTAACTTCAAACAGTTGCAGAGGTGCCTTTCCTCCAATTGCTACTCTGTGACCGCCCCCATCTCCATTTTTTTTGTGCTTCCAAATGCCTCCCTCGGCCCCTGATTTCCCTTTCTGCTCCTCCTTTTCTGTTTTCTAAAAACTCAGAGTCAAGATCAGTTTATTCATTTATTTGACAAATAGTTATTGAGCACCTGTTCTGTTTCAGACGTACTTTCAGGTTCTGGGAAAATATCTGCAACAAGATAGATGAATCTGCATCCTGAAGGGCTTGATGACAAGGTGATAAAGGACGAGGGTGGAGAGTGGCAGAAGCAAGATAGTGGAGACACTCAGGCCTCACCAGCCCCACTGAAGCAGAATCTGCATTTTAACAGTGTCTCCAGGGAATGTGTACATTTTACCATTAGAAAAGCCCCGATATAGGCAATGCATAGCTCTGGAGAGTTTTAAGCAGGGAAGAAAACTATCTGTGTATCATGGTCAGAGACTTGACTCCGGTTTTTTTTCGTTTTGTTTTGAGACAGGGTTTCCCTCTGATGCCAAGGCTGGAGTGCAGTGGTGCAATCACAGCTCACTGCAGCCTTGACCTCTTGGGCCCAAGGGATCCTTCTCCCTCAGCCTCCTGAGTAGCTAGGACCACAGGAGTGTGCCACTTCACCAATCTAATTTATGAAATATTTTTGTGGACACAGGATCTTGCTTTGTTGTGCAGGCTGGTCTCAAACTCCTGGGCCAAGTGATCTTAACCCTCCCAAAATGCAGGGATTACAGGCATGAGCCCACTGTACCTGGCTGATTCCGTTTCTAAACCCTCTTATTACCCTCTGCTGAGAAATATTGGTCCCATTATCCCAATGATATAACAAAGGCCCTGTATTAGTCCATTCCCACACTTCTATAAAGAACTACCTGAGACTGGGTAATTTATGAAGAAAAGGTTTAATTGACTCATAGTTCTGCAAGCTGTACAGGAAGCATAGCTAGGAGGCCTCAGGAAACTTACAATCATAGCGAAGGCAAAGGGGAAACAAACACGTATGATAGCGGAGCAGGAGAGAGAGAGAGCAAGGGGGAAGTGCCACACATTTTTAACCAGATCTCGTGAGAACTCACTCACTATCACAAGAACAGCAAGGGGAAAGTCTGCCCCATGATCCAGCCACCTCTTACCAGGCCCCACCTCTAACACTTAGGATCACAACTTGAGATGAGACTTATGGGGGAGGACACAGAGCCAAAACATATCAGGCTCAGGCTGAGCGTGGTGGC